AGCTTGATGCAGCCCCATCAGAAAAGAGGGTCTGGCTGCTGCAGCTTTGTGGCTTTGGAAATGTACATCCCGTCTGAAGTCTTGTGATGAGAGATGCTGTTTTTAAAATCTAGTCACTTTAAATAGTTCCTGTCATTGAGAACCAGACACCAAACTGTCTGTAACATCTGCAAGTTGGAAGCGAAAATCAACCACCCTGCCCCATTCCAACTTCATTCCAGGGAACTGAATGTGCAGAGAGACAAACTTTCCAGAGCAAATACACAGAGGTGATCAACTCTGGACCTTTTAACATCACAAAACAGAAGTTGGAAGTGAGGAAGACGCCAGCAAACCGCTCTAAGAGGAACGCCCATCTTGACTACAAACCACTAAGAAAACACGCTTTCTCTTGCCTACTTTTTAAGAGATGATCAGGTGCCATAAACCGGGAGGCACATTTTTAAAAAGCTGTTGGTTCCAGAAAGCGGCACTTAGGGGGCAACTAATGCATTGTTGCTTAGGCTTGTGGAACACGGATGTTGGGAGGTCAGTATGAGGGAGCTGCTATGAAAAGCTTTTCTTCAAACTTGTGCTCTGTTAGTGGGAAAGTAAAAAGACGTAGTCGTTGTGGAAAATAATACAGTGGTTCCTCAAAAAATCAAAAATAGAATTACCAAGGATGTAGCAGTTCAACTTCTGGGTATATAAGCCCCAAAGAACCTTGGGTCTTGGAGAGAGATTTGCACACCCATGTTCCTGAAGCATTATTCACAACAGCCGAAACATGGAAGCAACTCCACTGGCCAACAGATGAGTGGATACACAAAACGTGGCTCACAATGGGATATAATTCAGCCTTAAAAAGGAAGGAAATTCTGACATACGCTTCAACATTGACGAACCTTGTGGACATTAAGTTAAATGAAATAAGCAAGTCACAAGACAAATGCTGTATGACTGCACCTAGATGAGGTAAGTGGAGCAGCCGGGTTGACGGAGACAGAGTAACGGTGGTTGCCAGGGGCTGCAGGAGGGAGGACGGAGAGTCACTGTTTAACAGGTAGAGAGTTTAAGTTTTGCAAGTTCTGTGGATGGATGGTGATGGTTGCAAAACAGGTGAATGTACTAATGAACTTTAAAGATGGTAAACTTTGGGTTGTATGTATCTTACCAGTTTAAAAAAAAAAAAAGATTCGATCTTTCAGCCAATTTTCAGGGAAAATATCCCATTCTCTTCCATCATATTTTAAATTTGGTACCACCTATAGCTTATCTGTTCTCAATAGAGGGTGAAATAAATGCACACACAGTACGTGAGCATCAGTGAAATGCTTTGAGACTCACCAGAGCTGGGCTTCATTTGGCGGGTCTGTGGGCACACGAATGCTCACGGCTTTGATTTTTTTTTTTTTTTAATGCCAAACTTTCTAAGAAAATTTGTTTTGTGCTTTGGAAAATAGAAATGCTCCTTTATGAAAACCCCCCAAAAATCCAATTATTTAGTCCCCTCTACCCCCAGTTTAATAATCATTATAGCAAGGAAGTCTACTTCAATGGTTCTCAGTTGTGCAAAGGTCCAAGGTTAGAAAAGCAAGTTTAATTTCTGTAAGGGAGAAATATCATCATCTAAGACTTTATTACGAGTAGGACTGCCCACGGGGAATAAGGACCCAGGACCAAAGCTGTTATAGCATTTCCTATCTTTATACTACTTTAAAGTTTACAAAGCAATTGCAAACACATGCTTTCATCCGAACCTCGCAAGCCACTTCATGGGGTGGGTTTGAACAGCCCCAGTTTTGAGGATGAGAATACAGAGTTTAAGTGGTTTGATCAAAATCACGGAGCTACTCTGTGGGTAGAACCCAGGTCTCACAAGTTCAAGCCCATTTTTGTATTTCCCTAAACCTTAAGTTTAGCTCTCCAGTCAAAGGCTTTATTGACCTCCAGACAAGGAAACCTTCACTGCCTGGGGCCCGAGGGCCACGCAAAGGAGTGTGTACAACAGCACCTGCCACAGGAGCAGCGGGGCCACACCTCCTCACCCAGAGAATGAGACACTGCTTGACATACCCACCAGTCGGGATTCTTTGTGGATCAAAGGAAATTATATGTGAGAACATTTTAAAAGCATAAAATAAAATGTTAAGTCATTAAAAGGCATATAGTTGTCAGGGGTCTAAGATTTCATGACTCCTACAATCAGGAGGTGGAGTGTGCAGGGAACCATGTGTGCAAAACAAACAAACTGACCCAAAAGCCTGACCGGTGCCCATAGTGGGCGGGAAGTCATGAAAAACTGGGTCCTTAAGGGGGCAGGAGGTGGAGGGAGACAAACCTGCCATTTGCTGAGGTCCCAGAGACCCTAAACTCTCAGGCCTTTCTTCACTCAGACATTCCAAGACGGTAAGGAGGAATGTAGGGCAATCCTGTGTATCTCCCACCTACGTCCTTGGATAAAGAGGCCACCGAATTGAATTGTGTACACGCTGAATGTTATAGTACATACAACAGTTCAGACACGGCGGCAACACAGTCCAAATTCTGGAGGCTCCAGGAAGGGCTGGAGGTGAAGCTCTGCTCAGCCTAGCTAGGACTTTCACTCTGGGGTTTGGCAGCTTCCTGACACGGCGGGCTGTGCCTTCATTAATTCATCCTCTAAGAGCAGATGGGAGGCCTGGCTGGAGTTGGCAGAGGCACAGATGGAAGGCTATGGAGCTGGCAGTCTGGTATTTGGGAGCTGGGGACAGAAATGAAGAGCAATGGGGCCACCATAAGCCTTGCAGCCTCAGGTCTTACTTTGTTCATTTATCCAACCTGCAAATATTCGCTGCGGGCCAACTCTAAGTGTTCTTAGGCCTGGCAAAGCAGCGCTGGGTAGGAGAGCAAGGTCCCTCCTTCAGGACAGTGACATCCTGGTGGGGAAAGACATAATGAAGCAATGAAAACAGACAGTGTCATAGTAAGTGCTATGAAGAAAAAGGCCAGGAAGTGTGACCGAGGGTGTGTGGGACCACGGTGGGCCTAAGAAGACCGCATTTAAGCAGAGGCCCAAATACCAGCTGACAAGAAGGGAGAGAGATGGAGGAAAAGCTTTCCAGGCAGAGTACCAGCATGTGCAAAGGCCCCGAGGTAGGAACAAGCTCAGCCTGTTGGAGGAAAGACTGAAGAAAAGAATGCTATGAGCTCAGGTTCGAGGGGTAGCCAGGGGGCTAACCAGATTAGTTAGGGCCTTTCAGGTCACAACAAGAAGCCTGATTTTATGCTCAATGATATGGAAATTCACTGGAGCACAAAGGAGTGACAAGTCTAATTTATGTCTTCAGAGGAGTCTGGTCTGAAGGATCATAAAGCAAATAAGATACCCCTGTAATTCTCTATAGAATGTTCCATTTTAATCGATTTCCCATTAAAACCAAGAGGGGCCGCGGCTTACTTGGTTTTAAAGTGAACACCAGTATCACTTGAGCAGGAATCCCCCAGAATGAGAGAAATACAGAGAGAGGATCAGGAGACAGGAAAGGTAAGGGAGGTGGAAGGCAGCCAGCGACCTACGGCTCATCGTCACAACCTTCACAACTCATCTCTACAACCGGGAGTTGGTCTCTTGAGCCACCTGGCACGTGTGCCTGGCTCCTCATCCCTGACCCGGCGGGCACCTGTGACCGCGGCAGAGGACAGCTCCTCGCCTGTGGACCCTCATCTTCTGGCCTGTGCCAAGAGGCCGCCCTTCCAGCTTCCACAGCTCATGGGCTATCCGGGAAAGAGTAAGGCAAGAGCCCCGCGGGCTGTTCAAGGGAGATGCCTCAGTAACCCCCTCTTCCTGTCTGATCCCATGACTACCGCAACAAGGGGCCAGGGGGCCCCAGCCTGAGTTTGCAGCCCATACTTTTCCAGCGTTCTCCCAGAAACCGGCTTGTCTACGCACTGCCAGGCACACCTGAAGGACACAACTGAGAAAAGGGCCTCTACCTGATGCCTTCCTTCCCTTTAACCATCCTGTACTGAATCATTCCTCAGTGACCTTAGGTATTTTTGACCTGTGTCCAGGTCCAGCAAGCTATCAAGTGACACAATTTACTACCAGGTCAAGGCAAGTATTTGCTCCCCCTAAAGAGGGTCAGCAAATTGCCCAAAGAAATAAAAACCATCATGGTACCACTGCTATAGTCTGTCTTAGTAAGTAGATGGTACAGATATCATGATCACTTCCAATCTTGAGCCAGTTAAATACCTTTAACATTCTGAGAGAAGAAGAACCAAGTAGATCCTATTAGTATAAAAGCAAGAACAGGCAAGGGTAAGAATGAGAAAAAAAGAAAACCTATCAGGAACAAAATGGGCGCTAGATGCTTCTAAATAACTGGATCTATTTGCTAAAGGGTGGCTTCTATGCCACATGTCATGCTCCCCACCCTACCCTCAAAAGGATGGCAAAGATTAGGGAGAAAAATCCTTGGCATTCGTGAACCCCACATAGACAACACCCAATGACTGTTTCAAAAGCTATTTCAATCAGAACATACTAACAATTTCTTACTTTTTTAGACTGCTCACTTAAAAGTCAGGATATTGGAGCCCTAATGGGATATTTGAACTCAGGCAGGTCAAATTACTTCACTGATGAAGAGGTGAGCCCAGAAGGCTTTCAGAGAGTTCAAGTGCTAGGAAGGGAACCTGGGTCTCCTGGCTCACATTCCCTTTAACTTTTATTTCTAAAATAAAAGCACCATATAGGAAAACAGGAACTGGACAGGAAATCCCCAGTAATTCAGTCATCATACTATAACCACTATGAGCATTTTGTTCCTTCTATCACATGGTTACAGGTGCCCCCCAACATGTTACAATCATATTGGACTAGGGTTCCTTCCAATGCACAGGCCCTTTCCGTTACCAAAAAACAAATAACGGGCCTGGAATTCACCTCCTTTTTATGGAGTGGGGAAACAACTCTCAAGGGACCCTGGGACATAAGAATCAAGCTGCTTAAGCTCAGATCAGCTCGATTTACCTACCTGGTGCATCGGGTACTTGAAGAGGAATGAAAGGATCAGATACACTTAGAAGCGGCAGGCTGGAATCCACAGTCTGCCCACCCTTCCTTTTCTCAGCTGGAGTTGGTTGGAGGGGAAGAAAGGGTCAAGGAGAGAAAAAAAAAAAAAAAAAAGAGAGAGAGAGAAAAGCAGAAAACGTCAAGTAAATCCAGATGAATTTACCACCTATTTACTCAACAGCTCAAATTATAGAGTAAATCTAAACTCAGAGGCAGAATAAAGAGGCATATGAGTGGATATAATCCAGTGTGATGGCAAAACACGTCTGAGAGATGTCACCCGGTCCCTGCAACATACTCAGAGACACAACTGACGACACTAGTCTATTCGCACACCTGGATTCCGCTTCTTCCTGGTGTGGAAGCCTACAGTGATCTCTTCCAGAGCTCCTGCGGCAGCTATTGTCCGTGTCTCACACCGCAGCATGGAAGTGGACGGGGCTTCGTGTGTCATCTAACACAGCCATACAGGCACCTCAAGGGCCCTTCACCACCTTGTGGTCACGTGCCACCGCACGTCTGTTAGAGTGCAAGGCAGACAGACACAGACAGAAACAGAAATGGACTCTGTGTCTGCTGCAAGGCTAGACAAGCCCTAACTTCTGGACGCCATCTAACATTCACCGACGTTCATTCTAGAACTTGGCAAACTCAGAAATCTACACACCCCGTGGGATCACAGGGCTTAAAAAGGGATCTTAGGATTTTCTAGCACAATTTTCTTATTTTACGGAAAAGGAAATGAAGCCCAGAAGTTAAGAGGCGAGCCAGGGGTCTACCTGCAAACCAGGGTCAGAACCCAGGCTTGCTGGTTTCCAATTTACCATTCTTTACGTTGCATTTTAACACTCAGTTTGTTCTCTAGTTAAAATCTCATTTTACCATCTGTAGAGATTTTTTTAAAAAACGTTTTATTTTCAAATAATTATGAAATCATAGGATTTTGCTATACATAGAGTTCTGGGAATCTCCAACCAGCTTCCCTCCATAGTGAGATCTTTTACAACTATAGGACAATATCACTGACACCATTACAATACTGTTATTAGACTTTATTCAATTTTCACATGCACTCGTGTGTGTGTGTGTGGTTCTTTGCAGTTAGATACTATGTACAGCTTAGCATAAGCACCACCATGACAATGACACAGAACTGTTCCATCAAACCAAAGAACCCTCTTGTTCTCCTTTATAGTCACACTCACTCCTTCCTCCAGTCTCTACACCCTGGGAACCCACTAATCTGTTTTCAATCTCTGTAATTTTGTCATTTTGAGAAGGTTATTAAAGTGAGTTTTTAACTAAGCTTCTTTGAAGGTAGATGGAGGAAGAGAAGGGTAAAATCACTGCTCTTAAAATCTTTAAAATATATATATATATATTTTAAGATTTTATCTATTCATAGAGACACACACAGAGAGAGAGGCAGAGACACAGGCAGAGGGAGAAGCAGGCTCCATGCAGAGAGCCCGATGCGGGACTCGATCCAGGGTCTCCAGGATCACACCCTGAGCTGCAGGTGGCGCTAAACCGCTGCGCCACCAGGGCTGCCCTTTAAAATATATTCAAATGAGATACAATGAAATATATTAACAGAAAAAAAATCATAAAACTGCATATATTCATTTTTGAAAAAAGTATATATACAGAAATAAAATTCTGGACATAAATATTATAAAATGTCAGCAATGTTTTCCTCTTGCACTGGGATTATGAGTTCTTTTATCTTGTTTCTTTGGGCTTTTAGTCATTTTTCCAAAATTACACAATTGAATGTGTATAACTCAACAGAAAAATATTTTAAAAAAAGAGGCACAATGTCAAGTTTTAAATGTCTGTTCCAACATATGGACATAGTTCATCAACATTTTTGCAGCTTCAACCATAAAAATGTTTAAAATAATCATTCTGTCATCCTCTCTGACTCATTGCCAAATTTCCTGCCTATCTCCTCCTTTGATTGGAAGGTTTAAAATCAGTGAACAGTTTCAGCTTGATTAGAAAAATTCTAGAAAATGGTGCTATCCTATACTTTGTACGAATGAGGACATATTAATTTCTGGGATTTAGATATAATTTTCTTTCATTTATAAAATTGAAAGTGTCACACACACACAAAAGTTTACACCACAAAGAAGGAAAAATATCAAATGTTCATTTAAAAAGGCTGGATAACATGAAAAAAATGTGAAGACGTTTTATAATGTTCATAAAAGCTTAGTCACTGATTTACAAAGATTCTTGAGATGTAGTTATGACTACAGGTTCTGGGTTGGGTTGCTCAGGTCCAAATCTCTATACTATCATTCTCCAGTTGTGGCCTTGGTCAGGTAATTTAACCTCTTGTGGGCTGGTTTGTTGTTTAAGATTATTTATTTATTTGATAGAGAGCAAGCACGAGGTGGGGAGGGGCAGAGGGAGAAGAAGACTCCCCACTGAGCAGGGTACTGGATCCTAGCACCCTGAGATCATGACCTGAGCCAAAGGCAGATGCTTAACTGACTGAACCACCTGGGCGTCCCTTGAAGGTTGTTTTAAGGACTACCTGAAATAATGCATAGAAAGCACTTAATCAGTGGGCTTATTAGCATGTAGGAAATGCTCAGTATATGTTCACTGTTATTATTGTCATAACTTTACTCAAACGTATGTTTTTTAAGGCAAGGCCTTTAAATCCCTTTAAGAAATACAGCCGTTTATAGCCTTTAAAGTAAGCATAAAGGGAGAGAACAGGCTAAAACAAAAATAAAAACTGTTTGAAAAAGTTCATACAAGGGTGCCTGATGGCTCAGTCAGCTGAGCCCTGGATTCTTGGTTTCCATCTGGGTCATGGGATCGAACCCTCCATCAGTCTTGGTGCTCGTTTAAAGCTCTCTCTCTCTCTCCCTCTCCTTTTGCCCTTCCCCTCCATGCTCTGTCTCTCTAAAATAAATAAATAAATCTTTTAAAAAAGCCAGTTCATATAGACAAACAACAAATCATGTGATAAGTAGGAATTATAGGCGCTGAAACTGAGGGCAGATGGAAAATGTGTAGGACCTCTGTTAACACTGATGAATCCAAGTGCCTAACCTGTGGCAAACAGCAATTCTTTTCATTCATTCAGTAATCTATACTGAAGCAAACACAACACTAAATGCTAGGATTCAACACCAAAGAAGACTCTCCTAGAGCTTATTCCACAGCCCTCTTTCCAGGGAAACTCTATCCTACCTAGTACCATAGCTGGTCATTGGTGTGATGCTCTATCTCAAGGACAACGGTCAATGCTTTACACATTTGGTCAACATGTGACCTATTGAACTTCAAGCACTTTAAACCAGACCCAAATACCAATATATTTATAAACTACACAGGCAAGACAAAAAAAGCTAAAAATAAAGAATAACACAAAACATTTTAACTTTTTAATATTAAAAAGCATGCCCTAAATAAGGCCAATGTGTATGTATTCCAAATGAGTAACAACGAGAATATCACATGAAGACTTATGGGATATGATTAAAACATCAGGTTTTTTCTGACGAGGGAAGTGCACACCTATTAGCAAGCACCCTCAATAAACAGTGTAATCCTCAAAGGTCAGGGTGGGCTGGGCAATTAAAGAGAGAAGGGAATATTGAAATATTTGTGGACAAGTCTTCTAGCAGATTACAATGAACCTCTCTCCACACTCTCAAGCTGGCTGAAAATCACTATTACAATGGGAGAAAAATGCTAAACACTTATGTTTTTAAGAAGAATATTAAAGATTTTACTATGTGTTCCTCTTAATACTGACAAAGCAAACCTAAGAAAAACAGATCTGTAATCAAAAATAAATAAATAAAAGCAAAAGTTAAAGATTTAGAAGACAGAAAAACAGTAGATTTTATAAATCTAAAAGTTGCCTTAGAAAGATGCTAAAACAATAGATTTCTTGCTAAGGTTCCCAAGAAAAAATGAAACACAAATACGTACAGTGAAAACTGATATGTATACAAATAGTATAAAAGGTTTAAATGCATTATTCTATTTTATTCAATACACATTAAAATTGCAGATGATTTTCTAGAAAAAATATTACTAAATTTGCCTCTTTGTGTGGCAGAAAACCTGAGAGAGGAAGTTCTGGAACCAGAGGGATGGTGTCCCAGCTGTGCTGCTTCCTAGATATGTGACCCTGGAAAAGATGCTAGTCTGTGCTCAGTAACCACAACTGTGACTGATGTGGGGATGGTGTGAAGGGTCAGGTGAGATAAGACTTGTGTAGGACAAATGATAGACTGGGGAAAACGTTTACATATAGGACAAATAAGAACAAAATGAAAAAAAGAACTTCAAAAAGAAAGGCAAAAGACATGAACACCACAAATCCCAGAAGAAATAATGGCCAGTAAACACTGTCCTCTGTCTACAGCCTCTGAGTGGGGCTGGATGGGGAAATGGAGGAAGAATTACTCTTTCACTGTTGATCAAAATAAAATTTGTATAGCATTCTCAGAGGCCAATTTAGAAATACGTATCAAAAACCTTAAAAGACACATATCTTTTATTTAACCAATAATCTTCTAGAAGTTATCTTAAAGAAACTGTAAAGGTTATTACATGACAGCCAAAGTTCCAATAACAAATGAACCTAAGACATTAGAAAAACTACTAACACACTTACAGAAGACAGGAGGAAAGGAATATATAAGGATAAAATCAGAAATTAATCAATATAACTAAAAAAGATCAATTTCAGAAGCATATCAAATTCCTTATCCACAAGGAATATACATACTCAAAACCTCATATCTGTTGCTGAGTGAATTATAACAGGAAAACACTGAAACCAAATTAATGTTTAAAACAGAGATTACTTGGTTAGATACATTAGGACAAATCCATATGAAGCAATTTAACATAGATCTTTTAAAATTTACCTTTTAGGAGCTTCCTTAATGATGTGGGAAATGTGCCAGACTTAGCAAGCAAGAAAATTTGGTTTTAAAATAAGACTATAAAGATGTACATTAGAGTCTTAAGCTGAAGCTAACAATTATTTACAAAATTGTGGTCGTATATTTTCGTGAGGAAGAAGATCTGTAAATTTCATTACATTCACGAAGATATCTGTGACCCTACAAAGGGTAAATGCCACTAAAATAGACACCAAAATGGTACCTTGTGCTACTTCTTAGCAGTGAGACTATGGGGATTTTAACTTTCTTCTCTACACTTGTCTATAAATTACTTTTATATAATAAACGTACAATTTTTTAATTTTTAAGAAATTTTAATTGAAGTATAATTGACGGTATATAATTTTTGTTAATAAAGGAGAAAATTAGTGTTTTACTATTGCTTCTTTAAAAAAGGTCTAATTTAAAAAGAGATCTCCCTCTTCCTGTAAACACACACACACACACACACACACACAGAGGCACAGAAACACAGCTCAGCAGAATCTTGGATAGAGGATACATCATTTAATTCTTAGAATTCTTCAAGTCATTCCAAAGACCTAAGCAATTATAAGACATTAACAGTGATGTTCTTAAATTTAGAAATATTTGCTTAAAGTATGTGCGTGAACTAGACAGAACAATCCTGTATCTTACTGACACATCATCCTGTCATTTTAATTTGAAATGATTCTAGATATTTCTTTCTCCCTATCTTTATACTGGAAATATTTTTGAATAATAGAAAACACATTAGCACCAAGATTTGGGGCTCCGTGGCGCACCAGAGTTATCTGTGGAGTGGAAAGTGCAGAGGTAACGACAGTGAGCCCCGTGCTTCAGGCGTCTGTGATACTAACCGGTTCCAGAAGCAAACGAGGGAGTGGCAAAAGCGTCACCGGGAGTTGGTTGAAAGCCTGGGATCAAACTCTCAGCAGAGCCTCCGAGCTTCTCAGGATGTTTGCCTGGAAGGACAAGACAGCAGTCAGCTCACTCCAGCAGAATTCCACGACACACACTCACAGGACGGAGGGGAGACTTGACTCCTCTTACTGCATTGTGGCAACACCGGGGCCCTTCACAGGTCCTTGTCTAGTCGCTGCAGTAACCGAGACGAGAGCTGAGAAAAGGGAGGAAGTTGTCAGAAGCGAAGATAGCACATTGGTTCTGCGAGGTGGAAGTCCTGGAGACTGGAGGTGCAATGACGTGTGTGTAGTTAACACTACTGAACTGTACACCTGACAGTGGTTAAGAAGCTAACGGTTGTGTTATGTTTACTTATCACAACTTTTAAAAAAGATTTTACTTGTTTACTTGAGAGAGAGACACAGAGTACACACGCACGAGAGAGGGACAGAGGGAGCGAGCACGTGCGCACACAAGCGGGGGGTGGGGAGGGCAGAAGGAGATGGAAGAGCAGACTCCCCGCAGAGCAGGGAGCCTGACACGGGGCTCTATCCCAGGACCCTGGGATCATGACCTGAGCCGAAGGCAGGCGCCTAATCAACTGAGCCACCCAGGTGCCCCTGTATATTTATCACAATTAAACATTTTTTCAAATAAATAAATAAATAAGCAACAAAAAAGATGGCTGGAGCTAAAGCCCCAAAGCTCAAGCACATTATAGGCAGAATGCCTCCAGTCCTTACTCTCAATCTATTTGTTTTTATAGAATTCTGATGAGTTTGCCAATCTGTTTTCCGTGTTGGAAACAGTTCAGGAGAGCGCATGAGAAGGCGGCGTGGGTGAAATGGCAGGAGTGAGACTGAAGAGGGACAGGCACAAGGGCAGCAGTTTATTGCGACAGAAGAGACACAGGAAATTATGAAAAATAAAAATAGACACAAGATTTTTAAAACTTGGGAGTCTTGTAAGTGCAAAAGTACAAGAGTCTTCAATAGCCCGTGAAGATATTCCTGTCCATTCTAGAATAAGCGGCATACCCAACAATGTAATAATTTGATGATGAATTAGCTGTCAGAGTTAAATCCTATACTCTATCTTTTCTTTAAAAGAATAAGAAAGTAAATATTTTTTTTCCCAAGATTTTAGATTTTATTTATTTATTCATGACAGAGAGAGAGAGAGAGAGAGAGAGAAAGAGAGAGAGAGAGAGGCAGAGACACAGGCCAAGGGAGGAGCAGGCTCCATGCAGGGAGCCCGACATGGGACTCGATCCCGGGTCTCCAGGATCACACCTAGGGCTGAAGGCGGTGCTAAACCACTGAGCCACCAGGGCTGCCCATAATATACATTTTTGAAAGACATCTATAAAATAGTTAAAAGAGATTAACAAAAGTTAAAAAAGAGTAAAATTAAAAGGTATGGCCCAAGTTTGTATCATTCCCTTGGTTCTGATCATTCCTTTACCATCCTGTGCTCTGGTCTAATGCCAAGGAACTCTATTTGAAGTATTTTCCCAGGGTATGCTGTTGTTTTCCAAAGTGCACATGTGTGCCTGTGCGCATGAGTCCCGCCTTTCCAAAATAGACTGTGCATTTTTTGTTTTGTTTTGTTTTTAAGTAGGCTCCATGCTGAGCGTGGAGTCCAATGCAGGGCATGAACTCATGACATTGAGCTCAAGACCTGAGCTGAGATCAAGAGTTGGGCGCTTAACCCACTGAGCCACCCAGGGGGCCCTAAACTGCGGGTTTTTGAGGAATGGTACCTTCTATTTATTTGGTCACCTCTCCACAGTCAGCAACCGTACTACAGAGCTCTGATGGTGGTCAAGATGCAATGTCCACAGCAGGGCACACTCTCCCGGGTAAGCAGTTACAACTTTCTGGGACAATAAACACTTAGGATGAACAACCATCACACTCCCCCAAGGAATGACCATGCTCGACCATATATCCTGATCTATGCTATCAAATCTGTCCTAAAAGTGTCCCACTCTGTGTGCCGCCACCCACAGCAAGCCAGGAGTTCCTGAAGATGAAAAGATGTCAGTGCTCTGCGAAACACAGAAAGCAATTTGCGCTCCAACTTCCAAGCAAGCCTCTAAGGGAAGGAAAGACCCAACCCTGAGTTTTCACACACATAAGCCTCTAGCATTAGGGTTTAAGAATCACAGAAGGACAACTGCTCACCTTCCCCCAGCTTGGCAAAGTCCTTGTTCAGCAGTTCTTCAGCTGTGAGTTTGGAGAAATTGTCATCGTCGAAGGGATTCCACGTAGAACCTTCTGAAGCATTATAAACGTTTTGCTGGGAGGTCCGAGGAGAGCCTGATGGAGTGGTGGTTGCAGACCTAGGTAGGTTCCCACCCCCACGAAATGAAAAAAGTTGAAAAAGGGTCAATCTACTTTTTCTTTGAGACCAGATTGTTTTCTGAATTAAACCATTATTTTCAAAAAAATAAAATAATAAAATAAACCATTATTTTCTGCAGTGGTTTTCTAAAAGGATATTCCATGGCAATTGGATGGTTTCCACAGATACTTTTATCACCGTGTGAAATATTATGTCTCCCTTTCTTTCACAATCCACTATCCCCCACTGCTTCTTTAATCTCTTGCTTGGATTTTTGGTCTCTTCTGCAACTCCTTTCAATCCCGAATCACAATGCAACCTGTTCTTAGGCTTGTACCTCCTGAGGCATCCACTGTAATACCCACAATAACCGACCCCAGAAGGGCTGGGGCTGATGCCTTTTCAGGCTGCCTCCCATCTGTCAGGACCTGGCACACAGAGAATGGAGGGCCGCCATGAGCAGTGACCATCGCAGTTAAGGAGAAATAAAGACAGTCCTCACTATCTTGTGTTTCCAGGTATCATTACCTAATTTTCTTCTAAAGCCTCTCTTGATGTCCTTTGCATTTAACTAACAACTTAGAGATTTTTAACTTTGGAGTGAGTACATGGTTCCAAGAAAGTTGAGGGTCTGAAATTGCATTTCCCTAGCAAACACTCATTGCAATCTACTTTATTTCAGGCACCGAGCTGGTCACTGGATTTACAAAGGTTAAGGCATGGTCCTTGTCTTGGAGGAATTTTCAGGCTAGGTCAGCTGGACACACAAACAGATAATGATCATGTAATGCGATACATGCTCAAAAAAAGGTTCTGACAAACGTACATGTGATACCCAAGGGGTCAAAGAAAAGGTAATCTTTGACATGGATCTTGATGAATAAATAAGCATTTCCTAGGTGGACAAGGAGGAGAATGGCAGTTCGGGGAGAGGGCCCAGGATGAACAAAGTGTTCACAAAGATGGAGAACAACAAGTCCACCGATGTGATACAACAGCCTATGGAGTTTAGATAGGGGGAGCCAATGAAAGACTTTCATCATAGAGAGATTTGGTCAGACTGGTTTAAAAAACACTCTGTGGGACATACATACATACATAAATAACAAAATCTAATTTGTCCAGGAAAAAAAAACACACACACACACACACACACACACAAAACAAAACTCTGTGGAAGATGGAATGGTTGAGAGGATGGAAACAGTAAACAAGTATGAAATTATGTCTTAAGATCAGTCCGGTCTATGTACTACAGGCAAATTCAGTTTCTTAATAAACAGGCACACACACACCATTATATGTGCACACACACACATCTACATCAAAGAATGACACAGCAGTGGCCCACAGCAGCCCCAGCCCACAAAAGTAAAAAAGATAAAGGGGGAAGCACCACATACTTGGACTTATTGAGGCTGGCCTCAGCTGCAGCTGCCTGGAGCAGCTGGGTTGATTTGCTGGCAGGGACCCCAAAGACTGCGCTGTGGGTTACGTCACTGAGAATCCGCCTGTGCCCAGCACGTTGGGTCTTGGGGGATGATGGAGGAGTGAGAGATCCGAGTTTCTGCCCCTGGACGGCAGGAGGTGGGGTTGTTTGAACCTTTGGCTGTTGTCTTACTGGGGCTTGAATCTGCTAGGAAAATAAACGGCAAGTGTTCCCAAAAAGGGTGGGGGGGGGGGAGGAAAAGCAAATAAACAGATAAGCATAATAAAAAACGCCACATGAGAGCTAACGCTGGACTCAAATGGCTGAATTTACCGATAACACCCAGAAAGAAAAAAGACTTGTTGACAATTTTTTTTTTTTTTTTTTTTTACAATCTGAGCTATAACTTTGGGACTGATGGTACGGCATTTATGGGATGCTTATATATAAATTTCCTCTTCATCAGCAGTGATATACAGAGTATCCATACACAGTACAGCCCAGAGCCTAAGACTGCAGAAGCTATTTCTCGCTCCAAAAATCAAGAGTGTATCCTGTAGGACCACTTTCTGTTTCTGGGGTCACGTAGGAACTCACTGAGAATGCCTCCAAAGGGCGTGCTTTGAGCAATCTATCTCCACAGACAGAAGCCAATGAAGCCACACCTCCAGCTGAAACACGCGTGAGCTGAGAAATTTCTGCTCAGAGATCCTCGACTGACACAGCTCAGACTTCTGGTTAGGAGTAATTTAGGATTCCACCGTGATTCGTAAAAGTAGCAGGGTTTTTTTTTTTTTTTTTTTCTGTTTTGTTATTGAGGCTCTTGATTTCCCTGATAAGATGGGGCTGCCTATCTGTGCCCATAAGATGCACAGCCCATTTCTGTGGCTTCCCTGAGAAAATGTACAGCACTGGGGCGATGGGATTCAGTTGTTCCCACCTTTGGTTTAGAGGTGGCCCTGAAGAACCAGGTAGACAATACATGAAGATATAAGAAAAAATTTGAAAATCTCTTGATGGAACCTGATCTAATATAACACAAGGACTCTTGAGATTTGGGCCATTTTCAGAGGGCAGAGCAAACTGTCACCCCAGAAAAAAAAATAGGTAGGAACATCCTTGTGGCCACGTCATTAGACTTCAAGCATCAGTCACAAAGTGCTACAGCAGGGAGATGAACATAAAACAGTGTTAAGAAGGCCACTTAATGCTTGAATCCTGTCAGTCCAGAGACAAAAGGACTTAGAATGGTAAAGGCCTGTGAGGTATTGAACTATCCCTTCCCTCCAATCTCTCATTTGAGACTAAGACGTCCTTCCATGCTGCAGCTCAGCTCTCACATCCGGTGCCTTCGAGGATGGGTCCTGAGAGAGAAAGGAAACCAGAAGGGCCAGCTGCTGGGGTCAGGATGTCAGCAGCCTGGGATTTTCTGTCCCTGGATTGATGCAGACTCTGAATTTTACTAAGGCAGGTTATGTGCACGTATGAGGACACATCCGCTCATCAACTGAATGATACAATACAAAGCTTTAAATCAGTCAAATTAAGGCCAGAGGGTAAAGCAAGGGAGGCATCTCTGAGGGAGAAGCAGAGTCCTCCATGTAGACCAGAGGTTCTGCTCCACAACTCCCTCCAGGAGCCCAGCGTCAGCCAAGGCAGAGCCGGTACCCACAGAGACCACACTGGCTTTACGGACAGACCTAGGTCAGCTTCTCTCTTGGAGTTTAAGACATTCACTGCTCTGAGAAAGGTCTACTTCGCTGTTGAGTCCCTTTATTTTGAAGAGCCCAGACAACTAGGAGAACATTTTCCCTTCCTGTTGCCCATCCCCGTAGGGAGCACACGAGGACCCGGTGCTTCCCTCATGAGGACATCTTACCCCACCATCCAATCCATTCAGCTACTCCTCACAACAACCATGTCAGGCAGTTTTATTTCCATTTCAAATCTAAGAATATGAGTCAAAAGGGGCCTTGAGAACAAAGATTCCAACTGCCTGGCTTCAGAGGAGCTGAGACCAGGGTCCCCTGAGGCTAGGCTCTCACTCAAGGTCAGAGATTCAACTGGGGACAAAATTCATGTCTCCTGATCACTGATCACTGCTCAGGACTCCCTTTTCTTCACCATCACGTCTCTGCCAAAGATGGGATTAGGAAAGGGACGGGGGACACACAAACCACAGTAGAATCAAAGTACACTCAGGTGTCTGTCTTGCTGAAGATTGTTTCAAAGAACAAAATATATGATTATAAAAGGAGTACAGTTAGATGGAGGAATGTAAGAATATACACAAAAGAATATACACAAAGGTCTGGAAAACCCATCCAGACTTCCATCCCACTATCCTAATACAACTGTTCTTATCTTTTCTGGCATCTTTTCAAGTACATACTTTTCCCATAATTTCAACATTATCTCATGCTCATGATCATTTCATACTATTGTACAGACTTTATAACCATGATTTTTAATGGCCGCAGAATTGGGTTCTTGAACAATTAGGTTACTTTGGTTCTTCTGGCTGCTACTAGTAAGACTCCAATAAACACCTATGGCATATTGCCATTTTCCTTTCATAGGTTATTTCTTTAAGATGGCTTCAGGGTATTCTTTACAGTCACTCACTTGCTTATCTAGGGAAGTCCTGCCAAGGGTCACCAGAGAAAGGAAGGGATGGGTCAAATTTGGGAAGCTCTCTGGCTCTTCCCTGGAGCAGAGCTCAAAGGAACATGGAGAAGGCTCATAATTCGTTCCCCAGAGAGGGACCGCAAAGGGGAACCTCCTAAGAAATGTAGTCAGTGGTTGCTGATCATTTCCTCCCCCGCATGAGCATTCATTATTATCCTTGAACAGAGATCAGGACTCTCTGGTTCTTGCCAGCTGTGCTATCAATCTTGGGTAATCCCTTTCTAGCCTGGGCCCAGTTTGAAAGGGACTGGCTCTTAGCCTACCTAGGTCCTTCACTGCTCAGTACTGGCACCAACAGTGACTAGATCTTAATGCCAGTCTAATTTTAGAGTGATAAATAAGAGTGTTCATCTTCGGGGCACCTGGTTGGCTCAGCGGTTGAGCATCTGCCTTTGGCTCAGGGCATGACCCCTGGGGTCCTGGGATCGAGTCCTGCATCAGGCTCTCTGCTGCTTCTCCCTCTGACAGTATCTCTGCCTCTCACTCTGTGTCTCATGAATAAATAAATAAAATCTTAAAACAAAAAAATGTTCACCTTCATCGGTAGCCTAGAATCATTTTTTCCCACGCTCTAGCTTCTACAGAACCCCTCATCCTGACCTTGGACATATCAAGAAAAAGAATCAAATATTTCAACTGCAAGACTAGGGCAGCCCCCTCTCCCGGATGCAGCAGCCCCCCACCCCATCACTGCACCCCTCCGGCCGGGGACCCAGCCCTGACTGCTGGCCTGGCTGCTCCGCCCTGGCCGGGGGCTCTTACCGGGGGCTCCTGGGCCGGGGGCGGCTGCGGGGCTGCGCCCGGGGCTGCGGGGGGCTGCGGGGCGGCGGCGGTGGCGGCCTTCTGGGTCAGCAGCTGTGGCTGGTGCAGGCCCGTGGCCAGCGGCGGCTGCTGCGGCTGCTGGTAGAAGTTCTGGATCAGGGGCTGCTGAGAGCTTCCTTGGGGCGCCACGGGGAACGGGGCGATCGCGGGCTGCTGGGCTGCGGGGTGTACGGCCTGAAACTGAGCACAAGCGGCAAACGGGAGGAGGGGCCGCTCAGAACAGTAGCTCGCAGAAGACGAATGTGTCAGCAGCAACGGAGCCCAGGCCGAGGCCTGAGCACAGGCGGGCGGAAGTCCCTTGGCTGAGCCTCACACCTCTCGGGGGGAGCCCAGGGCACGCAAACCAACGCGACAGCCCGACATGGCAGCGCCAGCCGCGGCCACCGCCCTGTGCTGCCTCCTGCACGGCAGCCCGGCTCCTGGGCGGCGGCGATGGAAGCCGAGGGCGCCCATCCCACTGGGCACCTCGCGACTCCCCGGGTAACGAGCTAACAAATGCTCTCCCGCCCACAGAAGTAATCCCTCCTGTAAAGGGATTTGGAAGGAGCCAGGATTAAAAGGCTTCACTGCACCGACAGGATGCAGCAGTGACGACACCGCCAAGAACCTAACTGCTAAGCCAGCTAGAGTCCGCCAAGCCCTCCTGCGAGCGGCCCCCCTGCGGCTCCAGCCCCTTCACTGTCCCACCTCCAGCATTCAAAAGGCTCCGTACGCTCGCTCGGTACGCTCGCTCCGTATACCGCACCGCGCACCACGCCGGCTGATGCTTGGTCTCACGGTGACAGCCCCGGCTCTCAAGTTACACTCTCTTATCAGCTGCCTGCGGACGGGGATACTCTTCGTCCATCTCTGCTCCTCACTGCTAAGGCCTGTGCTACACACACACACACACACACACACACACACACACACACACACACACGTGCGTGCAGGTCAAAGGAGGGCCTGCTGATTAAGAAAAGTCAAGATCCTGTCTTTGAATATCCCAAACATTGTTCCTTGCTGCAGAGCTCACTAAGGGGACACTGTTACCCTTCTGGGGCAGACTTAGAGGGTTAGCAAAGAAGCAGATGTCAGCACATAGCCGCCTGTTTATAACTGCAAAATCCTGGAAACAACCAGATGTTGATCAACAGGGGACTGAGTGAATAAACCATGCTATGTACCCCTAAGAGGAAATACTGTCAAGCTGTAAACAGAAATGAGGGCTCCCTCCATCTTATGGGATGGAAGGGACAGAGTTCTGCAGATTTCACTTTGAAACTCTGTGTTTTATATTTTCATAAAACAGAACTGACCCAAAATTCGACAATAACTATAAATCAAAGGCAAAAATGAAACAAATAAACCTATGTATCAAATTGGGAGCCAAGCTCTCCAGAAAATAATGAGCAAAACAAACATTTGAAGGACAAAAAGGGCAAAGAAATCTTTTTCCAGAACTCGTGCTGGCACTGTTATCTTGAAATTATAGATCAAGTAAGTGATAAGCCTAGAAAAATACAATCATAAAATCCAAACAGTTAAGCAAACATCCTAGAATTACAATTCTGATTTAAGAACATAAATTCGAGGGGATCCCTGGGTGGCGCAGCGGTTTAGCGCCTGCTTTTGGCCCAGGACGCGATCCTGGAGACCCGGGATCGAGTCCCACGTCAGGCTCCTGGTGCGTGGAGCCTGCTTCTCCCTCTGCCTATGTCTTTGCCTCTCTCTCTCTCTCTCTGTGACTATCATAAATAAATAAATAAATAAATAAATAAATAAATAAATAAAAACAGCGATGTACGGAAACATATCAAATATGTTTAAATCCCTGAATTCATGATGATCCTAAAACAAATCAGAAACCTCTGTTCACCTTTAGAGGACCCTCGAAACAGACCCGTTCTGACAACTGGGCAAACACAGGCAAAGACTCAAGCATTGTATCAGCCTTTTCCATAGAAACAGTACCTCACGGTCATCGAGTAGCTGAGAAAAATTCTTCACAGGAAAACGCCAGCCCCTAAGGGAAGAGGGAAGCCTGGATATCCACCCTGGGGCTGTCCCCGGGGAGCGAATGGACTTGGGAAATGATCAACAGCTGCTCCACTGATGAGGGACGTTACATGGATGCATCACACAGACAACAGCAAACTGATCTTAGTAAGAGAGAGGGCAACCAGACTTTGTACGCCTCCTGAAGTGATGCAACCAGAGCAAAGAACCGTCCAAACGAATCGAATTTTGAGTGAGCCTCAAAAAAAATGACCCGTTTACACAGGGGATGGAGGAGCACAGTAAATGATCGCAGGGATGCAATCAGCCAAACCCAGAAGGCAGAAAATTCTACAGGACAATGACCCAGTTTTTTCAAAAAATTAAATGGCAAAGGGGAAAAAAAAGACGGAGAGGGCACCTTTGAATAAAAGGGGACTTAAAGATAATGTCAGTCATTATAAAATCAACTTGTGCATAGTAAGTAAATGTAGAAAAAAGTATGAAAAGACAACGGAAGAAGAAACACTCGCCACTAAATGTAACCTAACCTAAATGTGGGCCTTGTTTGGATTTTGATTCGAACAAGCCGACTTAAATTACGAGACATCAGGAAGAGATACATGTTACTAAATATTTTGTAATAAGAAAAAATAATTTTTAGAATGCTAAGGGTGCAGTTGTGTTAGGGGGAAAAAACAGAAGAAGAAGAAGAAGAAGAAGAAGAAGAGAAAAGAAGCCCTGAAAGTAGCTCCCTTGCTGAGGTTCCTCCGACAGGTGAGGGACTCGCCAGGGCCCTGGGGGGGGGGGGGGAGCGCCCCGATGGGTCCACTCGGCTGAGACGCAGTGACGCCCTGTCGAGCGGCTCCCGCCCTGCCACGGCTTCCCAGGGAAGGCGCCTGTGGCGACGGGGCCTGTGCGCAGCCGCCCCGGACACGACGCGCCGAGCAAGGGTCCCTGAGCAGCCTACCTGTTGGGCCTGGGCCTGCGGCGGCGGCTGCTGCTGGTAGAACGTGCCCGCGGGCTGCTGGGGCGGCGGCTGCTGGGGCGGCGGCTGCTGCTGGGGCTGCTGCTTGAGGAAGAGCGGCTGCTGGTGCTGCGGTGTGGCCTGCGCCGGGGCGGCCGGCGTCTGCTGCGGGGCCGGGGGAGCCTGGGGCTGCTTGGGCTGAGGCTGGGGTAGAGGCTGGCTGGGTTGGGCCTGGGGTTTCGGTTGGGGGACGCTGGCTAAAAGGCCAGGCTGACTGCCGGAGCCTGGAACGAGGAAAACAACCCAGATGAGGGCTCGGAACTCTTCCACCCAAAACTGGCTGCCTTTCTCTTGCCAAAGAAGTAACGGGGGGTGATCCGTGGACAGGTAATCCCAAGAGCCTTGTGCCGCTCCTGTCTTTGCATCTTCGTGCTAAACGATGTGCTTCGGAGTTTTCAAGACAAGGTTCAGTAGCAAGGTTCAACGCTCGCCTCCTTCAGGAATCTCCCCTTGTTCACCATCCCACTGGGTCGCTTATTCCTCTAGTCAGCACCCAAGTAGCTACTTATTCAACTGGCCTCTGACGCTACTGGATGATGCAGAGACAGTATTTGCCCTTACTGCCAATGCTTCAGGTCAAAAGCATTCTTTGACGTTTTACTTGCAAGCTACACAACCCACGAGCCCAGGCTAGGTGCTTGGGCCTGGCTGTAAGTGCGTGACCACCAGATTCACCAAAAGCTGCTTCCTGGGAGGGGAAGTGATGACTAAGTTCAGTGACCGGATAATTTGGCTCCTCCAAACTAAGTCATCTCACTGGAACCAGGACACCAAAACATGGGGTGGTCACAGATACTTTAAGAAGACAGAGCATTAAAGAAACGATGCCTCTGTGTCAAAAGGGGGGAGAGTCTTCCTTCTTTAAAGGCCAAGAGAAGAATATGAAATAAAAAGGAAGGCATGGGATGAATGGACCAATCCACAAAATCAGGCCAAGAATAGGAGAAATGGAGAGATTAGGCTTCAGTGGTCCTGGAGGTCCCCGCACAATCCAGCGAGAGGCCTCCCCTTTCGGCCAGCCACTTGCCGCACCATTTTAGTGGGCGCGCACCACCTGTCCTCCAGGCAAATCATTATTCCTTATGTGCCTCTAAATCCCATTCCTCAAGCAAAAGTAGGCTTCCCAAGATTTCTGTTAATATCTAGCCTCCCAAAGGGGTGTATCAAAGTCCAAATCAACCGAGTTACTGACCTGCAGCCTGGGGTGGGGGCTGAACCGTGGCCCGCTTTCTAGGTGTCAGGGCTGGCTGGATAGGAAGGATTCCTGGGTTTGGCTGAGTCTGCCCAGCCTTAGGCCTCTGACGGGGTGCGATTGAAGTCTCTGTGGTGGGAATGGGATCCGTCAGTCTAGAAAAGGAGGGGGGAGAAACACAGATTCACGTTAACGTGTGGGAGAGCGTGAGAGGGGGAGACAGGGTGCTTGACGGATTGGCTCTCCCCTCCACACTCATCCAAACCTTCCAGATCCGCTTAATCGACATTTGCCAAAGAGTGTTCCACAGGATGTGTTACTAGATGTTATGAAAAAAGGGTTGGTGGGAAATAAGTTTTAACACACTAGTCAAAATATATCAAGCAGATTTCTTTCCAGCAGAACTTTCCACGTGTGAATGCGCGTGGAGAACCCCGAGGAGAGCACTACATAGGATGCAACGTTTCTCTAGCTTATCTCAACTTCCGTCTAATACTTCCTAGGATTTCCCAGAATGGACTTTGGAGGATGATGGAAAGGGGTGGGAAGCAAGTGGTTTTCAGATGTAGAAAGAACTCAAACTTGGTTAGAACTAGCTGTCTGCACGGTCTCTCTACAATAAAAAGCATGTAAATGAGTGACTCCAATAAGGCAACTAGAAGGAGTAAGCAAACAATCCAAGATAAAGGATTTGGGGAATAGGACAGGGAGCATTTCCTCTACTACACATGCTCCCTTTCTTCCCAAGGTAATAACATTTTTAACTGTTTGTAGAGCTTAAATTCACACAATGCTATACGTCAAACAGATTTCAGTTTAAAAATTTAGCTGGGTTTCACCCAGAGTAAAAAAATCACGTTGCCCGGCTTTTCTTATAATGAGGTGTGGCCAAGTGTCTAAGGTCTGGCCTTACGTGGGAAAGCAGATTGTTATATGGCAGTTTCCAGAAACGCTGAGAAACAACTAGTGTATGCCACTTGTCTCTCTTCTTTGGCTATTCCTTCATCCTATTGCTTGGAACCGGGGTGCTACCATCTTGGTCCTGACGTCATGGCTCTATCATAGGGAGGGCAGAGTGATAAGCTTGAAGAGGCCTGGGCGTCGGGCGGAACTGCCTACCAACCATGGCCTGCTGGCCTCCAGACTTTGTCTACTTGGAAGAAAAGACAAACGTCCATCTTACAGAATCCACTGTCATTTTGAGCATCACAGTCAGATCTAATCCAAATTAATACAGGATGGATGGCCAGGGGTCTAATTGCTCCTAGTGAGACTGCAGAAACACAAGGGATAACTTCACTCATCTCCAGAGCACTCCAGGCTGCTGGCTACCACCTGACTCAGATCAGAGTAGTTGTCTTTTGATAATGCACATTAGGCAGCATCGCTGAAGTCGCGGCCAAAATCAACAAGCTTCACGAGTATTTCCAAATTCTGTCTGGCACAGCCTCCACGAAATGCAACACAGGCAGCGAAGCAGTGGGGCACCTGTGCCTTCCCCATGACAGCCCCCGAGGGATGTCCACAGTGGGTCCTGACGCTTTCCTTTGGAATCCTGCTAGAGGGATGCTCCTGTGCAGGGCGCACAACTTATAATATAAAAGCCACCATATTTGGGGAGCTGTAACTTGGGGGAGGAAGGGAGGGAGGAAAACAGGACAAATGTTGGAGAAGAGGAAAAAGATGCAAGAAAAATATAGCCAGTGGTGAGGAAGGCGAACAGATTTCTATAGAAACCAAATGTTAAGAACCTCCACACTGGATAGATTTCTGTGTGTGTGTGTGTATGTGTGTGTCTCTCTCTCTTTTTAAAGATTTATTTATTTGAGAGAGAGAGAGAGAGAGAGAGAGAGCAAGAGTGCAGGAGGAGGGGCAGAGAGAAAATCTCAAGCAGACTCTGCACCTAGCACGGAGCCCGATGTGGGGCTCGATCCCACGACCCTGAGATAGTGACCTGAGCCCAAATCAAGGCTTGGACGTTCAACCGACTGAGTCGCTCACGAGCCCCTGGTTGCGTTTCTCTTAAAGGTAACATCTTAGAGATCAAGGGATCTGGAGTCAAATAAAACTATATTTGAGCTTGGTTCCTCACTAATTCTGTGCTGATAGCTTTGCCATTTTAGCTCTTCTTGCCTTAGGTCCCTTCTGCGTAAAATGGAGAAAATTATACATCATGAAGCAGATGTGAACATCGAAGGCGTCAATGACTGTGGAACGGTTTTTATAAACTGTGTCGTGCTCGGGACGTTAGCTTGTGTGGCCCTCAACATGCTGTGGAAGAACACAGACCGTGAAGCCAAGAGACCTGGCTCCAAGTTGTCCCATCTCCCTGCTTGTGCGCAAATCACTTAACGTACAGGACGGAGCACGGATGCTGGAATTCTGGGTTTTTACTAACCACACACTCACTGATCAATCACCTCGGGCCAGTACAATTCTGAGTCTGTTTCCTCTTCTGTAAAATGAGAACAACATCAATGTCTCGCAGATTTGTTTTAAGGAAAATAGAGCCATCTTACTTATATAAAGAACCTCGTATGGGGGTGTCTGGTATACACGGTGCCTCCGTGAAGAGCGGCTACTTTAAAAACAGAGTCAGAAAGAAAAACTTAGGGAGCAGGACTGGGGAGCAAATGTAGTAACGCAAATGAAATCCCTGTAAACTATAGATAGGACCCCTCAGGCCCAAACCCCTTGGCTGTAGACGGATCCACAGCATCAAGGATCCAGACCAACTAACAGCGTGGGCACCCTACAGTTTATACAACAGTTTCCCCGTCACGGATGTTTACAACTGCCGTATGATACAGGTATTGTTCTCTTCATTTGACACGGCACAGCACCACTCACTACGGTACCGGTTACTGTCATTGTAACGTGTGGGCTTTGTGGGATCGGATCCTCGGGCCTAGAGCCATAGGGCCGTAAACCCAAAGACGTGGCCAATTAAAGCAGCCCCAAAAGCAACTTCCCGAGCTGAGTGTGGCAGCCTGAGGTGAGAAACAGCCCACAAAGTAACAACATGGATATAGCTGGCTAAGTGTGTGAAAAAACAAAAGTCTCCTTACTTTAGAGCCCCATCAGCATTGACATTTATTCTAGAAACGTTTAGGAATGTTTTAAAGTGTGGACATTATTTTACTGTTCTATGAAAATACCCCACGTGGGGTACTTGGTTGATAGCCTGCGGCTAACGTTTCCTTGCTATGGGGACACGGTAGAAAGAGAGGTACAAACGTCACTTCGAGGCACGGCGGCCATGGGGGTGTGCCCAGCAGACCCTCGGCTCACGAGGGGTGCAAGGAAGACCAGGGGCCCCACTGCCGTGCTCCTGAAAGTCACGCCCGTGCGTGCGCGGAGGCCGTGCTGCCCCGGGCTGCTCCCGGTCTCCTACCCCGTCACAGTGATGTTCAAGTGGGCGTGTTCCTGGGCCACAGGGCTCCTCTGGTAGAGGACCTGGGCTCGAGGATTCCCTGACCCCTTTGGTGCGCCTTCCTGAGATTGTGTCGACAGGTTCTGGGTCGCTCTTCCTCCCGCTCTCTGGGTTAGACGTGTATCGCCCCAGCCTGCCCTGGCTCCCTATTTTCTCGCATGGTCAAATAAAATCCTAGCCTCCTCAATCCTCTCTTGGCATCGGCTTCTAGAAGACCCCATGCTACGTGGGAGGTGATTAGCTAAGATCCACAAGCTCCTTTGCTGTCCGTGGAGTCAGTGCTGCGACCTGCACTCTCTTGACGTGGTCAGGGCCACGCACCGCGCAAAGGACAAGGGGAGGGGGCCAGGCCCCACGGAGGCCAGGATGCAGGCTTAGGGCACTCTCTTTAGCAATATTTAAAGGTGGCTGTGCCGCATCTCTGAATGCCCCGGCACTTCTACTCAAGCTACAGAATCAGCTGCGGAGTTCTTCATTCCCTTTCAAACGCAGGTCGCTGGGTTTCACTACCTCCCTCCTTGGCTCCCTGGAAGAGACAGAGCTCGCTCTCCTGCTCTGCGCAGCCTCTGGCCCCAGCAGTGACAGACACAGGGCACCTCCTCCTGCACCGCGTCAGCTGCCGTGGGACGTGGGCACACTCAGGCATTTCTTACCTGGCCTTCGGCTGACTCTTTTTTGCAGCTGCCTCACTGGCTTTCACTGGCTCAGGAAGCTTGGCAGGAATGGGAGAGTTCTACAGGATTGAAAGGACACCAAAAAAGGACATTACAGATTTCTTTGTAAAAGAACACCAGCATGACGGGGCCGATAGAAACACATGATGGGATGCTCCAGAGTGGCGTTCGGGCCCGGATGTCTACTAGAGCGAAGGGAAGTCAACCAAAGGTAGATCCCAGCAGTCTTAGCCCCACCCGGCAGGCAGCATATCAGAGGAGAGCACAGGGCAGCCCTGTAGGGTGCACCCCTCCCCCCCCACTCCCAACCTTCTGGACCCTTCACTCCCTACCACACAGCTTAGCGGTGGTGTTAAGAATTGAACGGGAAAGAGACAACTGTGACCCGTATTACTATTTGAGCTATCAGCTCGACCCTAGAGAAGGGAGCACGCCCAGCCAGGACTCATTCCACCTTCCATCTTGAACACTGGGAGAAAACCACAACCTCGATCCATCTGGTTGCTGGCGGGCACCGATCCCAGTGCATGAGGCTCCCCTTGAACCAGGAGGCCAGTAGAACTCGGCCCACCTGGATCCCGAGCTGTCGCCTAACACCGGCTCCCCCCAGGGAGCACTGCTGTCCCCAACCACAAGATGACTGCTCAGCACTGCCGAGTGAGCGCCACATGGCTCGAGACTTGTGAATCTGACTTTTTAAAAACTAGTCAGCAATCTGAATGCTTCCAATGATATTTCAGGTTATTTAGCTTTATGAATGGGAAAGTGGGGGAGCAAAAGGGAAGCATGGTCATGTTGGGAGTCCTGTACGGGATTCCTCATTTTAATCTGGAAACCAGACAAATGGAAAACTAGTAACAGTAAATATTTAGGCCTTTAGGAGGGACCTCCTATTTCCTTCATGTTTCCAGGTGGGAAGACTCTCTGCTAGGCTATCTCTCCTTGCAGCTCTTCCTCTCTCCAAGCATTCCTCTCCCAAGGGAGAAGCTTAACTTATTTGACTTATAGGATGGGGAGAAAAAAGCAAGCTGGCCTGACTCACCTGCGCCCTCCCCTCCTTTAAGAGAGAGCCTATCTCTACTGAATCAGGCCCTCCCTGCCCAGTCACGTGGCTCTAATGTCAGGGAGTCTAATGGGTCCACCTGCGTTCTCTGCCTCAATCGTATTGTTAATACAGCCAATATTCTGAGTTCCATCTGAGCCATTCCCACATCTGATTCCAAATGTGAGAGTGAAAGAGGAGTGTTCTTTATCAGTACCCCCAAGCTCCAACAGCGATATCTAAAGGTCACTATTGGGAAAACTGGGAAGACAATTTCAGATTAGAACTGATTTATTATGGCATCCGTTAGTTAAATTGCAAAGGGAGCTGGATCACCCATGAAAAATATGCTAAGATTGCAAAAAGGGGGGTGTGCAAGCAGTGTACTCCGAAAACTGCTGAGTGCAGAGCTTAGGATTACTAAATGTAGGAAACATTCCTGTGGCCTGATGTGTGCGAGGAGGGGAGTGGAAAACGAGTGTGAGTTATAGACAGTGGACAGCAGAAGCAGAATCGAGAAAGCTCTGCTGCCATAAAGGAGAAAAGGGACAAGGGCTTACATTCCAGTAGGTATGGGGGCAAGTCCAGAGGCCTGCCTCGGGAAAGCAGCTCGCCTTACTACCGCTACGTAAATACAACAGTCACATAGTGAACTGTGGAAGCTGACAAAGACAGTGGGAGGATCAATCTTCAAAGTGCTCAACTCAATCCCTAGGGATTTATTATTATTATTATTATTATTATTATTATTATTATTATTATTATTATTTTGGTGTAATTGCCTTAGTGTAATAATTAAATTCTAGGGGAAAACTGGATTCTCCTTAGAGTAATTGCTTCATAGTTAGCTTTGCTTGAATGCCCCCTACCCCACAAAGCAAGGGACATCTATAGTCCTTAAACAGCTGGTTTACGCCCCAGGAATTTTAAATGATAATCTGATGATGTTTACTTCCCCTTAGAAGCACCCTTCACATACCTGTACATTAGGAATTGGGCATTCTTTCTTGAGGAGTTTAAATGAGAAGTAGGACACCTGGTAAATATCCGGCCTTTTATCAGGGTCTGGTTCCAACATATACCCTAAGACAAACATATGTGAGCAGATTTAATAACATCCTAGTACTTATTACATTAGCTAAGAAACATAATTTCGGTTACCAAATGTTTTTATCCACAAGAAACTAACAAGGTATCTGGACTATAACAAAGATACCTGAAGTTCACAATTGGTGGCTTGTGCAACAGGGACTCAAGCAAGCTCTAATTATTGAAGCTACCACCTTTATATTCTGGTACCTAGGAAGTTACAGGCTTCTGGCTTCCTTGGTTCATATCTTGCTCAACAAGTGGTTACCCTTGATAATTGTAATCAAAATTAACTTTTTCTTTCTTTTCTTCCTCCCTCCCTCCCTCCCTCCCTCCCTCCCTCCCTCCCTCCCTTCCTTCCTTCCTCCCTTCCTTCCTTCCTTCCTTCCTTCTAGTAATCTCTACCCCCAACATGCAGCTAGAACTCATGATCCTGAACTCATGACCCTGGGGATCAAGAGGCGCATGTCCACCAACTGAGCCAGCCAGACACTCCTCAAAACTCAAATTTTAAGAACGGACTCATTATTCCCTTTGTTGGAGATATTAGCTGGTCTCCATTCTAAAAGAAATTACGAAATAATAAAGACATTCCTACTTCTACATAATCTATACGACACTTGTTTATTTCCGAGTCCTTTAAGCTTTCGCACTTTCTGAAGTTGGAAAAATCCCCAGGAAAAACATCTCTGTGAAGACACATAAACATACACATGCATACGCATAAACAACAACACAAGGCAATTTACTGTTTAAGGAACCAAATGAATGGTCTGAACACTAAGTACAAGAAAAACTGATGAGGCTGTAGTCTTGTGAACGCCTTACAGAAGAAGCAGGGCTTGGGGGCACTGGGTGGCTCAGTCGGTTGAACGTTGGAGTCTTGATTATGCCTCAGGTCATGATCTCAGAGCTGCGAGATCGAGCCCTGGATCGGGCTCCTCACTCAGGCCAGGCTCTGCTTGAGATTCTTTCTCCTCCCACTCTCTCCTCCCCCAGCTTGTGTTCTCTCTCTCTCAAATACATAAACAAATTTTTAAAAAGCAGCAGCAGCAGGGTTTGGGCTGATCCTTGAAGGCAGGAAAGAATTTAGTCAGTCAAGGGAAAAAGGAGAAAAAGATATTCTTGGTGAGTGAACAGTCTGGGCAAAAAAGCACTTGAGAGAAGGCAAGGGAGGGCCCTGTTGTGAGGGAACGCAGATGCCAGAAGGACAGAGCAGAGATTTCCTTGTCAGAGAACACGGGGAAATAAGGCTGGGTGGGCGGGATGGAACCAGAGCACGAACCGTCTTAAATGCCACACGAGGAAGCTGGGCCCTACTGTGGGACCACGGGTGAACCAGAATAGGGTGGCGAGTGGAAGGCTGATCTCACGGTGGGGTGGGGCGGGACGCACTGGAGGAGGAGGAGGCTGGTGGCCACTCTCTCCGTTCAGGCCCACGCTGGCCAAGTGTGTGAGACGATGGTGATGATGAAGACAGAGAGAATGTGATGGAGACAGGAGACAGTCTAAAGAAAGAGCACGGCTTAGGAAATGCTGGACTCTTTACTCTCTTTCAAGCCAGATCCAAAGAAAACCCTAAATTTCAGTTATCCCAGCCTGAATGGTGACACCATTCATTGAAACTGAGAAGAGAGGGGAACTGTGTATTGGGAGTAGTTGGACAAGGACAACACATTTTATTTTTTTTAAAGATTTTATTTATTTATTCATGAGAGACACACAGAGAGAGGCAGAGATGTAGGCAGAGGGAGAAGTAGGCTCCCCAAAAGCAGCCTGATGTGGGACTCGATCCCAGACCCCGGAATGAGAACCTGAGCCCAAGGCAGACGCTCAACCGCTGAACCATCCAGGCATCTCACAAACTTAATTTTAGACCCGTGACTTTGGGGTGACCGTGGAATCTTCAAGTAGTTTGGAAAGAAATACGTCAGAGTTTGGGAAAGATGTCAGTGTCACAGACACTCCTAATGTAGTGTTACAACTACATTCGTAGTTGTTTTTCCTAGTATGAATTTGCTGTGCAAATGTTAAAAAGAAAACATATTACCAAAAAAATCCTACCACTCTCATGCCACATTTGGCCGTTTCCTATAGATCCCTCCAATGTCACTTACACAGCTGCAGTTCTAGAACAGACATCCAGTAGCCCCTCCTTATCCATGGGGAACATGTTCTGAGACCCCCAGTAGATGCCTGAAACCACAGATAGTCCTGAATCTTACATATCCTCTGGTTTTTCCTACTCATGCATACCTATGATAAAGCTCAATTTATTAATTAGGTACAGTAAGAGATTAACAACAATAACTAATTATAAAATGGAGCGATTTTACCAATATGCTACAATAAGTTACATAAATGTGGCCTCTCTTTCTCAGAACATCTCATTATACTGTACTCTCCCTTCTTGGGATGATGTGAGAGCATAAAAGGCCTATGTGATGAGATGCAGTGAGGGAACGTCGCGGGTGTGGTGACATAACGTTAGGCTACTATTGACCTTCTGACTATACATCAGAAGTAGGATCGTCTGCTTCCCACTGCGGTCAGCCGCGGGTAAATAAAGCCACGGAAAGCAAATCCATGGATAAGGAGGGACTATTCTAATGCTTTAGCTCTGAAAACAATCTCACAACCATTAAGTGCCATATTCCGCTTCTTTAAATACCACCTCCCCTTTCTTGCTTAATAAACAGAAGAAGTAGATTGATAAAAATTGGCCCAGCGGAAGAGGTCGTCATCGGAAAGCTGTAACTATGTTCCCTTGGGTAAGGTACCTATACTTTCTCAGCCTTGGCTTCCTCAATTGTATAATGGGGAGGATTATAACTACCATCTAAGATTTTTAAGAATTAAATAAGGCACAAGTAGGCCCTCAACAAATGTCAGATGCTCCACCCACATCTGCTTCTATTTTTTTTTCCAATGCAACCCCACCCAGGACCCAAACTATCTCAGGATTTATAACCCATAATGGTGAAAATTGAGATGCTAAATCCCTTGACCAATGTGAGGAGATGATGAAATATTTCTGTCTCATATTTTAGTACAAGGGCTTTTGCAAAGATTACTTGTTCCACCATCTGGTTAATGAACTAGTACATATGCTTGCCATCCATGATGATGCAGAAGAGTGGGGGAATCTTAAAAAAACATCTGAAACAAAGCACTGAGTTTAAATGCTGGTTATCAAAATCCAGTGATTAACCTAAAGAGAGAAAAAACCTAGTTCCATGGAGTTATACAGTCTTAATTATGTATTCACTCCAGCCAACGCATGGCAATCATTTCAATTTGTGTTTCTTCCAGTTTTGCAAAGATGAATTTCTTATCACTTGATAGGAGTCAGCTGGACTCTTTCACACTGACTGCAAGAGAACAGAGCAGTAATGTACTGCTCAAAGCACAGTTAGGATTTCTGCTCAAGTGCAAAAGAGCTTAGATTTACAGCAAAAGGACCTACCACTCTAACTAGGCACTGTTATATTTATTATCTTTGAGTGACCAACCATTACCGACTGATTTATCTTTGCACCCAACCCATCACTTCTGCGATCCAGTCTCTTTGTTCCCCAATTCATTCCTGGAGATAAGAGATAAAAATATGAAACTAGAAACTTGAAATACTTACTAATTAGGCAGTGCATGTCTTGGGAATATCGAGAGTTATCAGGAATTGTGAAGTTTCCATCACAAATTGCCACCTGACTCTCTCCAAATGGCAAAGTGAAGTAGCATAATTTATACAACAAACATCCAAGAGCCTAAAAAAATAAAGCAGATTGCTACGAGTGGTTTATTTACCATTACTGCAAATGGGTCTACAGAGAGAGAGAATGGCATCATCCACATTTATTAGCAGATATAAAAACTACGTAACTACTAACCTGCTAGAAACTTGAATTTAGAACTCAACACCACTATTTAGCTGCTGAGATACATTATTTCTACCATCATTACCAGATGGTGCTCCAGTAAGGAACAAGTATTTCAGCTATTTTGCTCTTCAAAACTAGTAATGCATATATGAAAACCACCTAAATAAGGGGCAGGTCACCTGAATAATTCTCACATAACTCTAAAGTAGTTTCCTTTGACATGCCTCACGAAGCAGTGGCTGGTCATCTGGAGTGAAGATTAACCCTGAGGGTAAGTAGATAGTGGTATGGTACAGTGGCCACTCTCGCTATGGCACTGTCTGGATTAAACTTGGGAATCTACAGTCAAGACAGCTGGTATCTGAGATGCGGATAGGTTAGTTGACACCTACCCAAATGTCTGCCTTCGTAGTGATGATTTTGCCACTGTACAGGTTGACCATTTCTGGTGCTCGATAGGACAGCGTTGTGTATCTACAATCAAGAGATTTGTTTTTTGTTAAATATGTCAGTGCTATAATTAAAAACCAGGGGTAGCAGAAATACTTTTTTAGAAACATATATATTGATATTAATAAAGTCTAGTTCCCTGGGAGCCATCTGCAGAAGAGAGTATGAAATATTAGTGCAGATAAAATGAAAAGCTGTCCTTAGCACACACCCATGGCCCTCTGGAAGCGGTCCTTCTACCTGAGGGCGTGTGGAGACCCAGACACTATGGCACTTCAGTAAACGCTAAAAGCACTTTTCTTGGGTCCTCAAATGATAAAATCTTCCCCTGCAAACCTTGTTGTCTGATGCTATATTGATACTGTATTTTCTGATTTGTTTTTAAGAACACCGATTCCCTTAAATGTGGCTCAACACAGATAATGTAATCCTGGCTAAGACACTGGAGAAGAGCAGAGAGTGGGTCCTGGCTGGGGTGGGAAGTGGATGAAACAACAGTTTTCCTCTTATCTTTGGCTCAAGTAAAGATAGTATAAGCTCAGCTTCAAAGTGAGGGTCTTGATGTTACCAAGCACGTGACTTATGATGCCCAGTTTGGCTGCCAGGGGTGACCCAGGAAAGGGGACTGAGGATGAGGATACAGGTGTGCATACCAGACTGCTGGTTTATTAGTAAAATTAGTGAGTGTCATCACCTGTGAAAAACCTGACCCTCTGGACAAGAGGGGAACTTGGGTCAGGTTCTTACTAGAGCCAGAAATCTAAGGAAGCTTCTTCTCATCAAAGTCAGTGATTTGGTACCTGTAGAGCCGTCATAGCCCTACTTACCATTAATTCCACTAGATTGGTGAGCTCCTTAAGAGCAAGAAGGAGAACACAGCAGTGTAGGGTTCAGTGAAAAGCACATCCAACTGACTGATAATGTCACAGTTGTTATGATTCCATTTAAAAACATCACAGTCCCTCTACGGTTTGTGCACCATTCAGCTTTTTGAGGGCTGTGTGACATGTCAGAATACGTACGTACAGTGATCCTGGACCACTGATAAAGTGCTGTAGGAAGGAGTCCTTCACTTTACTGACCAATGCTTGTGGACCCCTTCCACATCTTGCACCTAAAATCAAACAATCCAACCGCCAGTGCGATGCTCTGAGACAAGGGGCAGCACGACTAGCACCATGGCCTTCCCACCCTGACCTACTCATCCTTCAGCTGAAAATACAGCTGCTGATCCGGTAATGGACAGAACTCCAAGAAAGGAGGAAAAGCTTACTTCTTAATCTCATCTTCTACTGCATTGACGCCCTCAGTTTGTGGATTCTGAAATTTGTTGGTGGCGCTTCCAAAGTCACACAGGACGTAGTGGCCTCGGTCATGCAAGAGGATATTTTCAACCTGAAAAACATTCCCCAACCACCCATTCCAAGATATTATTTAGCAATGCATATGAAAATTTGGTTCATAGTCATATAAATATTTTATTTCTGATAATCCCATTAATATGCATAGGAAAGTTATTCCTCCCCAAGTACCTCGACAAGGGTCATCCCCAGGGAACAAAAGGCAAAGCACGCTGACAGGGTGAAATGAGAGTAGAGGGGGGCAAATAGAGGAATTCCACAATGCGGAAGTAAAAAGCCTCATTTTCTTAGATTTCCAGCCACATTTCTCACCTCTGCAGAAACACTCCTGATACTTTCAAGCCTCTGTATGTTTTCTCACGTTCTTCTTTCAGTCTAGAATGCTCTCTGTGGCCCCCACCTCATACCCAACCATCAATATCCCATTCATCTTTCCAACTCCAGTTCAAATGCCCCCTCTTCTTTGAAGCCTCCCTCAAGCACCCGCTCAGACAAATGTCACTCCTTCCCTAAGGTCCTTCAGGACTTCATTCTTCCTGACGTCAATTATTTCATTTGCACCTTATACATGCATATATCAATTTCTTTACCATAATGTCAGGATTTCCAGAATAATAAATATTTGCTATATTTTAGATACTTCTCAAAGTGGTTAAAGGCCTGTGGGCAAATGTGCAGGTGTCCTATTAAAGTATTATCTTTTTATAGCTGAATTCGTTGGACAGCGAGTTACCAGTTCCAGGTAAAAAGGAGCCTACAAATACCAGACCCTACAGAAATCCCTTGTATCAAAGGACTATGCCAGTGAAAGAATAACTCCAAGACGGCATGCACTTTGTCCTTGAGATGTAGAGACACATTTAACACCGTGTATGTGTCTGTCTGTCTGTCAGAAGTGAGACCGGAGCCATCAAGTGCCCAGACCTTACTACTGTTACTTTAAAAGGAAAAAAATCTGGTCAATTGTGAAAGCCTTTTGTTCCCATACGTGTTTCTACACTTGCATTAGTTCTTCTAAAAAGAAAAAAATTCTTCTGAAAATCACATTATATATTACAAAAATGTTTACTGTATAGTCTGTATCAGTTGAATCTAATACCTAAAGCCTTTGCTGCAAACGGATTCTTTGGCTTATTGTTTCTTACTCCTACTCAGTCTCACGTGTGGTGTTGTTATGTGGGGTTTTGTTATTGTTGATATTAACTCACGTTCCATGGAATTCATCTGTGGGAAGCCTTTGAGGCCTGGGTTTAAAATCTATTTTTCCTCCAGGGAGACTATGCATTTGCACCTGGGGCACCGTTAACCTACAATCACTTTAACCTAGAATTTTGACCTTGGGATTTTTAGCCACTTGGGCAGCGTGAACTGCGGCTATTGACGCAAGTGGATGTGCTCCTGTTCCCCAGAGACAAGGCTGAGGCAAGCAGACATTACTGCCACTTACAGCTTTTTATAAAGCTCATCAGTTTAACCTATTCACACAAAGTGAAACAGCCAAGCTATCCTGAACGGATACTCACTTTAGGACTTGAAAATAATTCCAACAAATTTCCCATCTAATTTAGAGGTTATAGACAGATCCGCTATACTGAGCTTTTACTATTAGCAGTGCTCCTGTACTCAGCACTTTACCTGGATTATCCTCGTAATAATATAATAATATCCCTGTTTTACAGCTGCAGAGAGTGAGGCTCACAGTGATGAAGAGGGAAGTAAACCTAGGTACTTTCACTCTAGAGAAAGACCGGGAATTACCCTTCTGCTGGGCAGGAAGCAAGTTAGAAGCAGAGCTTTCCTCAAGGTCCCCACTTGCACTATCCTCCAACCGCGGTGGGTGTGATGAGGTCACCTGCCCAGGGTCCTGGGTACAAGCTTATGGACGGGGCTGCCTTAGTCCTTTATCCTCAGAAACGCCCCATAGTAAGAGTCTAGTCGATGAGGAGCCAGGTGTCTAATTACTAGCCAGGCTGCTTTGCTCCGTGTCTCTTAACCAGTCCCAGCATCGCCTGCTTTGTCCCCTTACACTTAATTGCTCCACTTGTCAAATCTTAGCCGTTCTACAAGGCCTTGCTTGAGTCATAAATCCTCGGTAAAACCCTCCATGGCCACCGCACACGAATCTGTGGGGCTTCCTGTCCATGGGGTGGGGGTTGGGGGGCAGAGCAAGACCTTTGGACCAAATGGAGCCATGCCCACCGCTTACCTACACTGCAGTCTGGGGGTGCTGCTGGGCTCTGGAGGCAGAGCCGAGCAGGTGTGACAGGGGCTACGTGGCTGGGAAGCCACATGGAGTGACCACCCAGTCCTTTGCAGGAAGAGGGGTGTCCCGTCGCAGCCGGGTCCCCCGAATCCCGAACTCGGTGTCCTCACCGGCACCTTGCAAAACACGCGCCCCTACTGCACACGCACAGCCCCTTCCCAGAACCGCTCGTGTACTTCCCACAGCAGAAGGTACAACCTAAAGGACCGAAAAGCTGCTTCACTTCAAGACACACACGAGGTAGCTCCAGAGACCAAAATCACTGGGCTGGAGGCAGGAGGAAAAACCAAGCAGACAAACGCAGCACGAGGAGGCACGGGGCGTTTCTGTCTTGGTTCTCTCCAGCCCGTCCGCACCTTCAAAACGAGGTTTGTACTTCTGGTTGGTTCCCGAGTAGCAGAGCTCAGCAACCCGGTCTCCACCTCCGCCCGCCTCCTTCCCAGAGAGGTAACATTGTACAAAACGACATTTGCAGGAAAGACAGTTAAAAATTGAGGGCGTGCACAACAGCGGTGTACAGCCAGAAACATCACCGTGGGGGGAGCCTTAGCAGTACCAAAGGCCCGGCCGCGCAGGCAGGAGCCCCGAGCCCGGCCTGGCCGCTCGGCAAGTGTGCTGGGAGGGCCGCGGGGTGAGCTCACCTGGCAACGCCCGCTCAGCAGCCGCCTTGCCCCCTGCGTCTCCCGGCCTGAGCCGGTGGCCTGGAGCAGCCGTGGGACCCCGCCAGCTGCTCGCCGCCACCATCAGTGACACACTGAGCACCGGGCCTGGCGCAGCCACCCTGGACCTGGGGGCCCGCGGCCTCGGAGACTCGTTAGACGTCTGACCTCGGACACACCTTACACCTCCCTGGGCCCGCGTCTCACCTGCCAGGTAGAGCTCGGAATGTCACTGATGCTACCAAGCAAATGAAAGAACGTAAGTGACAGCGAACCGTGAGTCTCCCGTGCAAACCCAAGAGGTGCCTACCCAGCACTTACTAGGAAAACCCGCGCAGGGCCCTACCGCCCGAGGCCGGGGCTTGCGGACAAGGCTCGGCAGATCAGGGGCGAGGGCTCGTGGAGCTCGAGCCCCGGGGAGCGGGCCGGGGGGCAGGGAGGGGTGCAGGCGGCGGCAGACGTCAGGCGTCAGGCGGAGAATCCCGGCAGGTCACACACGCCCGCGGTGCGGGGACGGCAGTGACCCGGGCGGCCGAGGCATGGGAGGCGCAGGCCGGGGGCCGCCGGGGAGGCCGTGCAGAGCTGGCCTAGGGGAAGTGCAGTCGTAGGAGAAGCAAAGGCACGGGGGCGGCGACGACAGTACCCCGGCACCAGCTCTGGACGAGCCCCACGCTGCCCCCGCACCTTCACCTACACCCCCACGAGCTGCGGGGCCCCCACGTCGCGGGCGGGGGAACAAGTCCCGTTACCCACGCGGCCGAGGCGTGCAGGGCGCGACCCCGAGGGGCAGGACCCGGGCAGAGCGGCTGGCAGGCGGCCGCTGGGGAAGGGGGCTCCGAGGAAGGCTGGCCGGTGACCCAGGGCAGGGCCCGGCGGAGGTGACTGGGGCCGAGGCTGCGGCAGGGGGCGGGCGGGACCCCGAGGGGGCAGCACCAGCCGGGCGCTCGCACCCCTCCTCCTGGAGCTGGGAGGCCCGCGCAGCCCTGGGGGTGCGGCCGCTCCCTGGCGCCCCGCTCCGGCCCAGGTCGGGCATCGCCGGGGCGCCCCAGGCCTGTTTGTGGCGGCGGCAGCGGCGGCAGCGAAGCCGAGCCCGGGCCCGGCGGGAGCAGGTGCACGGAGCAGGTGCAGGTCCCAGCCCCGCGGGCGCCGTCACGGTCCCGGTCCGTGACCCCGGGGCGGACGGCTCCTTCTTCCCTCGGAGACAGAAAAGGAAAACCAGACACGCCCGGGAGGTGGTTCAACGGCTGAAACGAGGCTCCGAGGAAAGGCCTCCCGTGAGTAGCGCTCCCGTGGGAACACGAGCCGCTGGCGACGCGGCCCAGGGCAGCGGCCTTCCCCTCCCGCGGTGCGCAGCCTGGCTCCTCCCCACCTGCCGACCCTACTCCGAGGGGTGACGCCGCACCAGGCGCCACCCTGCTCGAGGGCGGGGCGCCTCAAGGCCAGCACAGCCAGGGCCCGGCCCCGGGGCACCGAGGGCACAGGCCTGCAGCGGCTGCAGGCGGAGCCTGTGAGGGCAGAGGGGCGCCGGGGGCCTTCGGGGAACTTCGGGGGCCTTCGGGGAACTTCGGGGGCCTTCGGGAGGCCTTCAGGGGTCTTCGGGGAACTTCGGGAGGCTGTCAGGGGCCTTCGGGGGACTTCAGGGGAACTTCGGGGGCCTTCGGGTAACTTCGGGAGGCCTTCGGGGGGCTTTGGGGAACTTCGGGAGGCCTTTGGGGGCCTTCGGGAGACTTCAGGGGCCTTTGGGTGACTTCAGGGGCCTTCAGGAGGCCTTCGGAGAACTTCGGGAGGCCGTCAGGGGCCTTCGGGGAACTTCGGGAGGCCGTCAGGGCCCTTCGGGGAACTTCGGGAGCCTTCAGGAGGCCTTCGGGGAACTTCGGGGGCCTTCGGAAGGCCTTCGGAGAACTTCGGGAGGCCGTCAGGGGCCTTCGGGGGCCTTCAGGGGCCTTCAGGGGCCTTCGGGGAACTTCGGGGGCCTTCGGGGGCTGGCAGCCAGGCGGCCCCTGGGCCTGCGCACCCAACGTGGGAGGACACAGCCGAAGGACCTCGCTGGCTCACGAGAGCAGGCGGACGGCGCAGAGCTAAGTCCCGGCAGCTCGGGGACCTCAAGCCCCACAAGCAGGAGCCGTGGCCCAGAGCCACAGCAGCAGCCCCTCCCGGAGCGCCTGCCACGGGGCCTCCTCCGCGGCCGCCCTCGCTCCCCTGGGCCCGGGGGAGGAGAGCGCCGTGGCTCCCGCGGCCTGGGCCCCAGCACCGGGCCTCCCTGTGCCCGGGTGAGACCTCGGTGCCACCGGCCAGGCTCCTGTGGCCGCCGCGGCACCGGGTCACCGCAGGGCACGCGCCGCCACGCTGGGAGCAGGCCCCTCGGGGAGGTGTTTCCGCGGCTCCGCGAGGATCCATCACCCCTACGAGGAAGACAAGACTTCGTTTCGGACCGTGGGGATGGCCCTGGCCCGAGGGGGCCCTGTGGCCTGTGCTCCTCCCCGCGGCCGGGCTCCTCCCTGCGCCCGTGCTCCTCCCCGCGGCTGTGCTCCCCCGCGCGGCCGTGCTCCTTCCCACGGCCTTCCCCGTGCTCCTCCCCGTGGCCGTGCTCCTCCCCGCAGCCGGGCTCCTCCCTGCGCCCGAGCTCCTCCCCGAGGCCCGTGCTCCTCCCCGCGGCTGTGCTCCCCCGCGCGGCCGTGCTCCTTCCCACGGCCTTCCCCGTGGCCGTGCTCCTCCCTGCGGCCTTCCCCACGCCCGTGCTCCTCCCCGGGGCCCTGCTCCTCCCCGGGGCCCTGCTCCCCCCCCGCGTCAGTGCTCCTCCCCGCGCCAGTGCTCCTCCCGGCGTCCGAGCTCTTCCCCGGGGCCCTGCTCCTCCCCGTGGCCGTGCTCCTCCCGGCCTTCGTGCCCCTCCCCGCGGCGGGTCCACCCCGGGCCGGGCCTGCAGGCAGACGCGGCCTTCCCGGCGGCCCAGCGCCTACACGGGCGGACGGCTAGGACTCCGGAGGCCCAGCAGGCTGGCTGCGGGGGAGAAACGGGACCCTGCGTTCGCGACACGGCACAGCGCTCTGCACCGCGGCGCGGCTGCCCCTCCAGGAGGCCCCTGGCCACCACCTGACCCCGCCATTCGCCCCCCCGCACACGCACGCACACCTGGGAACACGAGCCCTCTGAGATGCTCGCAGCCGTCCTGCCTGATAGCCCAGGCAGAGGCAACCCCAAGGCCGCCCTGACTACTTGTTTCTGCTCACAGCGACTGTCATGCCAGAGAAGGATAAGCACTGCCCCGGGCGACACAGCAGAACTCGGCGGCCCCGTGTGGGGAGGGCGCGGGCGCAGGAGGCCACGGACCGTGTGAGCCGTTATGTGCAGTCCGCAGGACGGGCCACGGCCAGGCTAGCGGTGCCCGGGGACCCCAGGGAGACCGTTCCCTCTGGGGACATGACACACATTGGAATTAGATAGTGGCGATGGCTGCATGGCCTTGGAAATAAAGACCACCGAACTATATATTTTAATAGGGTGGATTTTATAATTAGGAACTAGATCTCTACTTTTGGAAAAGCTAAAAAAACAAAACCAAAAAAAGAAAAAACCAAACACACACCTCGAAACGCCAGCATGCTGCGGTGACCCCACGCTTCAGAACATGCAGATCCCACCTGCGTGGTTATTAAGCTAGAACTCCTGGCCCTCCCCGGCTCTGCCACAAAAGTCAAGCCTAACGGATTCAGAGTGGGATCCCGTAGCCTGCGTCTGACAAGCACGCCGGGGGACGCTGCTGCAAGTTACTAGCCGTGAAGCATGTTTCTGAAAACACGGGTATAATGAAAAGAAACTATGGTCGAGGATCAGAGGAGCAGGATTCGCATTCTGGTTCTGCTCCTTCCTGGTTATACTACGGTTATACTGTAGTCAAGCCACATGAACCTTCCCACCGCTGCATTTCCCTAACTATGAATGTAAAGGAGAACATCTTCCTCCAAGAGACAGTGCGCACAGAGTGTCTTGGACGGGACGGGGCGCACCGGCTGTGTGTGAATCCATACAAGCTGCTGAATCCCAATCAGGAGTCAGTTCCATTCAACAAACATTGTCGAGTGGCTATAATATGAAAGGCCTGATACAAGGAGGTGATAATCAGTAGACAAAATTTTCAGATAATCACTTACTTACTGGATTTTACAAAATAATGAAATGGACGTTAAAAACCAAGCCTCAGTGTTTGCAAACTATTTAAATTAGCATATCATTTTCCATGCCCTTAACCAAGTGAATTTGGGACCATATCAGGAAAGACAAAAACAACATGTGTTCAGGCATCTGATGATTATAAAGAACTTCTAAAGGTTGCCTAAGCAATAAAAGTGACACCTGTATTGTACTTTTTTTTTTTCTTTTGTCTTTGTGTTTTCTGTCTCCAAGCAGAATGTACAGATGTAAGGCTACCACGCCTGTTCCCTCACATCCCCAAAGCATCTCCTCTGTTCCCGGGGCAGATGGAAAATATCCTGCAGGAACGTACTTAATGATTCAGCGCGGCCTTTACCTTCAGGTCACGGTGGATAATAGGAGTTTTGCACTGATGCAGGCGGGCAACAGCTTCGCAGGTGTCACAAAATATCTGGAGCACTTCATTCTCTGTGAAGCCTGTTTGCAGGCGCTGGTTCATGAGGTTGACCACCTGGCCTCCTGCAAGGGGGCACAGAGCGAGGGACAGGTTAGCCGCATTCACATGCAGCACTTACTCAAGACAACGAACGGCTGCCCAGAGAGGACAACCCAGACCAAGGTTGACAGCTGAGCCATGACTGAAACCCTGATGTCTTGATTCCCAGGCCCAGATTTGACTTCTTACAATCCAGGGCCTCCTCTAATGCATCAAAACCAGAGTATTTCGTAAAGTCTATCTTCAAGATCAGGTTAACTGACATGGTCCCACTACAGCCCCTTGGCTATCCCCGTCTGTACAAGGAGGCCACGGGTCCAACCTGCCACGTCCTTTAATGAGAATCAGACTGCACAATAGACCCCAGGGGCAGGGAGAGGACAGCTTTACAGTCCACACTTTAGGAATGGCTTGGTTGCTCTGGCTTCACTCACTCCCAGCTGCAGAGAGTGCAGACACACTATACCAGTATTTAATCTGCAGGACCAAAACACTGACGACCTCACTTATAAAATGATCCAGATCCCTGGATGCTCCTACCTCACTTACAAAATGATCCAGATCCCTGGATGCTCCTATGGCCTTGTCTTGAAACATGTTACCTTCCAGAAAGGAATGGATAGGAGGAAACAAACTATCCAAATGTAAACAGGAAGTTTACATTTCGTAGTGTCTTAAAAAATCAGCGTAAGGGTCATTCCAGAATAGGCTGAAATTACTGGTTACCATCACACTGTGGGGACTGACAACATATTTAATTGATGGACAGAATCTTTAAAGGCAAGGCAAATGTCAGTGGAAGTAAGGGCGATTATAAAATAGGGCACCAAACAGTGAGAGGGTGACCCCAGCTTCTCAGAGGCAGCTGCTGAGGCCAAAAAAGTCAAACCTCTGAACTGGCTGTATGAAATGCAGTCAACTCTGAATCGATTCATACTACAGTCTGGATTTCCCAAGATAAACGTTGCTTGAAACTCCAAGCTTTCAACTACTTAACTTCACTGTTAACAGCAGCATCGTTTGAATGTAGCCTTACTGGCAATTACAGCTTACAAGCAAAGAGAGGAAAGGTCATTTCCATTAGACGAAAAGGATTATTTTCCCCCATAACACAAGGATGGCGGTGTGGGTGGAGAAGAGAACACAGAAGGGAGGGAGTGGGGAGGCTGAATCGTTGCTGAATCGAGGCTGAATCGTGGTCCATCTGGAGTTGGGTCTTTATTATGTGCCTTCATCGCTTGTTTTAAAGCATCACAAATAACATTCATTCTCACCCTCATACATCCTCATTCATACACAAGCGCCAAACCTGCCCAAACCTAACAAAAAAGGGAGTTTCATATTATCCACCACTTCCGTTTGCCGTCCTAAGAATAACCAAGAGGAGACAGCAGGCTCTCTATCTTCTGGCCTCACAGTTGGCCCATCTTTAAAACCAGAATGATATACATCACGGCATGGCGCACAGGAAGTGCGATGACCCCCATGCCCTTGACAGTCCAAGTGCCCGAGCAGCGGGAGCTGTAGGTGTGGGTCATACACTCACCCCTACAGAAGTCCATCAGGATGAGCACCTCCCATACATCACCGCTGCTCACATTGTTGATACTGGAGTCGATGTAACCGACAATGTTCTTGTGCCCCGACAGGTCTCTCTGCAGGGAAGAGTTGAGAAATACGGCATTAGTTACCAACACCAATGGAGATGGAAGGAGCCAGTCAGTTCCACCGGCACGGATCGTTTACATACAGATGACCTTAACCGCCATGAGAGCTAAGACTGAACAGGAGGGTCAAGAGCAGGTTTCCAGTGCTCTCTGAGATTCAAGGCCAAATCTTCAATAAACAATTCTGGAATCCTAGTAAACCACAGCACTCTCCAGAGCGAGATGCTAGAACCAGAGGCACACAGGGGGCCTACTTGCCCACTCCATCAGTGCTCCAGGAAGCAAACGTGAACCAGGAGCAGACGCCCATCTCCAGAAGTACCAGAGTCAGAGCCAAACAGGATGAATTATTTAAATGCGTGAATTTTTAATTCAGAAAAATGAAACTGGTGTTGTTGTTGTTTTTTTTCCTGGCTGTAGGTGACAACTGAGTTCAACATGACTTTTAAATTATTTGTACTGTTTTTCTCCCTTTAGGAAATACTTGAAAAGAATAACTGCTTTATTACAGAGTTTTGGACAGCCTGCAGTGGCATCCAGACCTAAACGTTTTGCTCATAATTAAGCCTCTCAAGCCAACCGAATGGAATATGGGATGGGTCATGTTTCCGGCTCCCTGGTTAGAACTGCATATGCTCTCCTGGGGCTGCTTATGGAATTCACTTAGTCAACAAATGTTTATTGAGCACTTCCTATGTGTCAGGTTCCACTTAGGCACTGGAAGGTGCCTTACACATCTTGGTATAGTTATTTCAACATCCATCGGGGCAAATCTTTGTAACGATGATGTTTAAAATTCAATGTCATCAAGAACTAAGTTGGGGGGAAAGAAAAAGTGAGCAGGCCAGGTGAAAGGATTTTGACACAAAAGCAAGATAAGATTTAAAAAACTAGTCTTAATGAATTGTTTCACTTTTGTTTAAAAAAAAAAAAAAAGAGGGGAGTGGAAAAGTAAAGTGGTTCTGAGTTGCCATACAAACGTAACCGTTTAGACCATTAAAAACAGTAACTACCACTACATAAATAAGAAATCTGGCTGCTTAGAGTGACACATGAAGTCTCTTTTAATCTGAAGTCATATACCAAAACAAGAAGAAATGTCATAATATCAAAAGAATATATCTGAGCCCTGAACACTGAAGTTAAAATTCACTAGAACCTTCCTCTGAGTGAGGGAGTAAGAAGGAAGACAGTTGCTTCAGAAAGGTAGACAAACATAGAACTGTGACCACTGGAGCCCAAGGTAAGAGCAGTTTCAGGGAAGGGAAGAGGGGGGTGGTGAGGGGAGGGTGGAAATGGACTCACAAAGAGTTGAGCTTATAAAGCTGGAGACTACAGAGGAGTCTTCTGGAACATTCTGTGCTTCATGGAGGAACGGCACTGCCAGGAGGAATTCTTAGGATGAGAGAGAACTGAGCATGGGAGAGTGGAAGGAGCCAAGAACAGCAATAGTGGTGGACAGGAGGGAATGAAGTCCTGCAGGAAGAAAGGCGTGGGGACTGAGGGCCTGGTCTTAGAAAGAGGGGCTGGAAGGAAACAAGGATGGATATGCATATTGGTTTCCAGCTGGAGAAAAGGGAACTTCAATGAGTTCCGTTCTATTGTTCTGTTTTTGGGTAGAGAGCACAACCACGTTTGCAGTCTAAGGGAATGAGAAAGATGCTTGATGAGAGAATTAAAAGGCTCAGAGCAACTACTCTGGATGACAAAGGAGATGATGAGGCAAAAAAAAAAAAAAAAGCAATCTCTTGAGTTCTCCACAACAGAACGTGATTTCAGGGTTCATGTCGTAGAGGCCCCTTCTTTCCCCCCGGCTTTTTACTCTCATCACCAACTCTTCAAAAACTTGATTTCGTTTACACAGTCATGGAAGGAGGAAGAACTAGAGAGAAGTTCTTGAAGCCAAAATAGAAGAGCAGAAGATCTAATGTGTGCAGGAAGAATCAAAGACTAATGTTTCCACATTAGTAATTTGTCTACATTTAACTGTTTGAAAAAGACTCAGCAATGCTACCTCTGATTTGTCTCACCCCAAGAGTAATAATAAAGAATTAGGAAGGAGGAAAAAAAAAAAAAAAAACATGTGATGGAGCCAAGAGGAAGAGGTCAAGAGCTATTAGAGGACCCACGCTGGATAATTAACATCTGCAGATGGCATCCTAGAATAGTTGCCAAGCTGTGTGCTGATCAGTTCAAGTCCAAATTCCTGTTCATTTTGTCTTCTGCAGAGTTCCTGAGATGCGTCCAAGCAGAAAAGAGCTCCTCTTGGGAGGGGGACCCTGGCTCTTACTTTTAACAACATCTCAGATTTTAGAGTAACACCTCACCAGTCGGCAACTGATGGAGAAGATCGATTTGAATGGCTGTGAAATGCAGAAAAGGTCAAGAGAAAATCTTACTGCAAAGTGAGACTGACTGACACTGCAGGTGCACTGCCCCTGTCACAGCAGCAGTGGCTGGAGGAGGCCCACGCGTGCCCTGGCTGGCGTTAGAAGCCCAGTCCCAGGCTTGGAGAACAGACAGGGATACAGAAGTGTGGGTGGGACCCCCATGGTCCTGGAGCTCAAGGACTCAGGAAGAGGCAGGATACAAGGAGGATGCCTGAGGCCCTTGGCTACAACCATTATTTAGGGGCATTGAGATAAAAGTCTTTATGATGAGTGTAAGTCAAAACCTGATTTTCAGGGGAGTAGGAAATGTTCAGCTAAATCATAGGTCAGATTGGTTTGATTGAAACAGTGATGATTCTAAGGAGTGTGTATTGTCATTTAACTATTTTTAGGTTATCATGGCACAAGACTAATAAAGTACTGATGTAAACATGTTATTAGAAAACCTGCTTTAGTAAGTAGATATTTTAAATGATTTGTAGTTGCCTTATTAATATCACATTTAACTGCTTGAAGTGCTAAAAAACTTTCTTCACAAATACATGCACAAGCTGCCATGTGAAAATCATGCCTTCAACCCAGACCGTATAGGTCATCACAAATCTCAAGTTTATCTGGGGTTCCTAATTAATGACGCTTGTAGCACAAAACAGTAGTCTATCTCTATCTTCAAAACTCCTACAGCTGGAGGGGATCCCTGGGTGGCTCAGTGGTTTAGCACCTGCCTTCAGCCTGGGGCATGGTCTCAGAGTCCCAGGATTAAGTCCCAGGATCCAGCTCCCCGCAGGGAGCCTACTTCTCCCTCTGCCTGGGTCTCTGCCTCTTTCTCTGTATCTCTCATGAATAAATAAATAAAATCTTAAAAAATTCCTACAGCCAGAGAATTCCTAGTTAAAAGAATCTTATAGCCTTTACAAGAAAAGTGAGGACTTAATCCCTAAATACATCTACTAAAACATTTATATATAAATTCAGGAAAACAAAGAAGATAGCATTTTAAAGAGCCTATCAGTAACATGTCACCTGAAAAAAGTAAAAATGAGCATGGTTTATGACTGATTTCCCTACGTTATTTGCTCAGGTCACACCCATCCTTGGAATGTCAGCGTGATACCTGCAAGTTCCCAATGATGACAGTGCTTGCACAGGCAATAGATTATTAAGTTTCCAAAGACACGATTTACCTGCTTTGACCCTCCATTCAAATATTCAACACTTTCTGATTGTATGACTTAGCACTTGTTGCTGCTTACTTTTGGGATCACACCACGGTTCCACGGAACCTTTTAGGCAAAGTTCAGCCTCTTTTTCTGACTTAAATGCAGTTCTAAGGACTGAAACTTGTTTATTTCTCCTACTGGCTGCTTTGTCAAAGTCTTCTGCCTTCCTACTCTTTGCCCCACCTTTCCTCAATAACTCTGCGTTTCCTTTATGAGTCTCGTCAAGGAGTTACAGGCAAAGCGAAACATCAAGTCCAGTGCAACAGTGAAAAGAAACTGAGATCTCGGCCGGCCCCTGGTGTTCCACCGAAGGCCAAGGTGTCTGGGCTTTTGCTACGTAAAAAGTCCCAAATACTCTCTTCCCACAATCCATGGACTCTCCCTTTCCTGGGTCTTACTCATTAATTAACCCTGCATTTACTGCATAGATCTTTAAAGTCATCTAAAATCTGATTGAGAATCCTGCTGCTCAAACTTTAATATGCATATGAATCACCTGGGGGTCCTGTTCAAAAGCGTATTCTAATGCAGTAGCTCTGGGAAAGGGACAGGATGCTGTTCCTCAGTTTAAAGTAGAAAGATCCAGAGCAGTGCTACTCAAAACTTGGCCCACAAACAGGTGCTGGCTAGTAAACTGTTACCAGCCCATAAGGAGATAAGAGGCTTGCTCCAGGACATAAATCAATTAAGTAACTAAGCTGACTGGAGATATTTTACCCAGGAGGAATGCAGTTCCTTCATTTACATTCTGGCATAACATTCTCTGAATGGCACCCACACATTTACAGCCAATTGATTTTTGACAAGCATGCCAAAACAACTCAATGAGGAAAAGACTGGTCTTTTCCAAAAGTGATAACTGGGACAGCTAGATATCTACATGCAAAAGACTAACTTAATATCCCAACCTCATATTATATACAGAAATCAATTCAAAATGGACCAAAGACCTAAAAACTCTCCAAAGAAAATATCTATACAAAGCTTCACGGTGTTGGATTAGGTAATGGTTCTTAGATATGACACCTGAAGCACAAGCAAACAAAGAAAAAAAAACAAACCACACTTCATCAAAGTCTTTAAAAATTTGTGCTTCAAAGGACACTATCAAGAAAATGGAAGACAATGCAAAGAATGAGGGGCAAAATATTTGCAAATCTTACACTCAGTAAGGATCCAGTATCCAGGCTATATAAAGAACCCTTAAAACTCAACACTAAAATAGCAACATGATGCAAAAATTGGCAAAGGATCCAAATGGACATTTCTCCAAAGAGCATATACAAATGGCTGGTAAGCACATGAAAAGATGCTCAACACTATTAATTACTAAGAAAATGCAAATCAAAACCACAATGAGGTATCGCTCCAAACCACT